GAATAATGCTGATATGTGCACAAGATTTATGAATTCCATTGACTTCGACAAAAATCTTACATGGTTTCGAGGACCTGACTTCCTAAGAGAATCAGAAGATTCCTGGCCCAAACAAATAGATATAGTAAAATTCTGTCCAGATGATAAAGTAGAAAGAAAAGCAGATGCGACATTCTTTGGCCTAACAACAAAAAAGCTACAAATTATTCCAGATATAAGAAGATTCTCGAAGTGGAGAAGATATGTTCGGGCCACAGCATGGATATTTAGATATTATTTCAAACTACTCCACAGAATAAGAAGAGAGAATGTATTCCACTCCAGTGAATTGACGTGTCAAGAGTTCGAAAATGCCGAGTTGTATTGTCTTAAAGTTTGCCAACAAGAAAGCTTTCCAGATGAACTGATCCAGCTGAAAAATGGAGGAAAAGTAGAAACAGCATCACGGATTTCACAGTTATTACCATATCTTGATGAAAATGGATTGATTCGCATTCATGGAAGACTGAATCTTGGCCAAAATATCGATGATGCTGTGAAATCACCAATTATTTTGGACCCAAAAAATCGCTATACAAAATTAATGATATTGTTTTATCATGAAGACAATTACCATCAAGGTGTAGAGTCGGTACTCAACAATTTACGCCAGCGATTTTGGATTTTAAGAGGAAGATCTGCTGTGAAAACTGCTTTCAAGTCTTGCCAGATCTGTAAAATTAAGAAAGCTAGACCCGAACCTCCTCAAATGGGACAACTGCCTTTATGCCGACTCACCTCCAATGTACCGCCGTTCACCTTCTGTGGAGTTGATGCTTTTGGGCCATTTTATGTAACAGTTGGTAGACACAAAGAGAAACGATGGGGAGTACTTTTTACATGCATGGGAATCAGAGCAATTCACCTCGAAATAGTGCACTCACTCTCTGCAGACAGTACGATTATGGCAGTACAAAGGATGATGGCAAGAAGAGGTAAAATAAAATGCCTCTATTCTGACAATGGCACAAATTTCCGTGGAGCATCTGAAGAATTGAAGACCTTTTGGAAAAATATTGACCACGATGAAATGACGAAGAAGCTATCGGAAAAGATGATTGAATGGCATTTCATAGCACCCGCCTCTCCAAATATGGGCGGATGTTGGGAACGGTTGATAGGATCTGTGAAGAAAATACTCCAGAACATTTTGAAAGAAGAAAGTCCAAAGGATGAAGTTCTCCTTACTGTTTTTGCAGAAGCTGAAAACATTGTGAACAATCGACCAATCACTCATATATCTATAGACCCCAACGATGAAGAGTGTTTAACGCCTAATCATTTGTTGCTTGGATTAAAACGAGAGCCATTACCAATGAAATTTGAAGAAACTCCAACAAGAAAACTATGGAGAAAGGCTCAAAGACTTTCGGACAAATTTTGGTCAAGGTGGGTAAAAGAATATTTGCCAACCTTAACGAACAGAGGGAAATGGACCAAGAGCTCTATACCGGTTCAGATTGGCGACATGGTTGTCGTGGTTGAATCGAATTTTCCAAGAAATAAATGGCCGTTAGGAAAAATAACAGCTGTTTTTCCTGGAAAAGATGGTGTTGTTAGAGTCATCGACGTACAAACAGCACATGGTGTGTATCGTAGGCCGGTGACCAAAGTTTGTAGACTTGATATTCAACCTGATGATGATGAAAACTAATGTTTCCACGATGGGGAGGATGTTAAATATTTCGTAATTTTTGCCTAAATTTGGTTGTAGTATCACTCAGTAGAAAAATAAATTGATTGGAATTGAGACATTGAAAAAGTGTAGTTGTCATTGACCTATAATTTGATTTTACTATACAAAATAGTTCCAATTTATCATAGATCCAGAGAATGTTGTAAATCAGAAGCATTTGAAAATTATCTGAAAGTTTCAAAACCGGACCAGAGTGAATAAATAGATGAATTTACTAGGTGTTTTCGAAATCATAGTTTAAGTATATTTGGTGAAGCTACAATAATGAACATGTAGGGGGGATTTTGGCGAATTGTCTATTGATTATTGAACTACCTTCCCAAATTGCGATGAAAGTTTACAATAGTTTGATTTGTTCAATTAACGGGTGATTGGCTATGTATTTCATTATTTCATGTATTTCAGATAATATCAATTGAAATTCAAATGATACTTTCTGAAATACAATTGACGCTTTCTGAAATACAATTGACGCTTTCTTAAATTGAATTGATTATTCTGACATACACCTGACGTTTGCTGAAATAAAGGGTGGTTAAATTTGATGGGCCGATGTTGAATGTGAACCACACCTAAACGTCAAGTTGTTTTCTACATTTAATTTGACATTTCTCCATTTCACACTAACTCAATTTGATCCATTGAAGGATACACAATCGAGCAACGCGAGTTATTCAGGCTTATTATGAAAATGGGCGTTCAAATCAAAATGCATATCGTGTTTCGGCTAATTTAATCGTCCAAATGTGCGTACAATCGGAAAAATCGTGCAAAAATAGTAGCAAACCCGATCTGTAGGAGATGTGAAAACACCAGTGCATGCTCGTACTGCTCGTACTGCAGAAAATATTGCTGCTGTTCGCGATAGTGTGGCTGAAGAGCCATCCACCTCAACTCGTCGTCGTGCCCAATAATTGCATCTCTCACGCTCGTCGTTGATGAACATTATGCATAAAGACCTGCATTTACACGCTTACAAGGTGCAAGACTCAAGAACTAAAGCCTCTTGACCATGCCAAACGTCGTCAATGGTCAGAATGGTGGCAAGAAATGGCGTGGATGATCAATTTTCTAAGAAAATCATCTTCAGTGACGAGGCACATTTTCACCTCAGTAGATTCGTGAATAAGAATTTGGGCGAATTATAATCCAAGAGTGATTGTCGAAAAACCAATGCAGCATCATCGGGCCGTATTTTTTCCAAAATGAGGACGGTCAGGCAGTTACTGTGAATGGTGTTCGCTATCGTGCGATGATAACGAACTTTTTATGGCCCGAATTGGAAGTTATGGATGTGGACGAAATGTGGTTTCAACAGGACGGAGCCACTTGCCACACAGCTAACGACACAACGGCTCTTTTGCGCGACAAATTCAATGGCCGTGTTATCTCACGTGGTGGCGATGTGAATTCGCCGCCAAGATCATGTGATTTGACACCGTTGGACTTCTTTCCATGGGGTTATTTTAGAGACAGGGTGTACGTCGATAAGCCAGCAACAATTGAAGAGCTCAAGGATGCGATAATTCGGCACATTAACGGCATAGAACCTCAATTATGCTTCAGCGTCATCGAAAATTTGGACCATCGGATGGAGGTGTGTACAGGGTATCCCAAAATTGCTGGAACACAGAGCTACCACGTGTATAGGAGGTGAAAATAAGTTGATTGGACCCAATTTATGTATGTGCCAAAATGTACCGTTTGTCCGTGAGAAGGGTTCAAAGTTCACATAAAAAAACACATTTTTGTATGCTGTTCAGAAACAAGTGAAACGAATTTGATGAAATTTGGCAATAGTGTATTTCAGGGGTTTAATTTCCTTTTGGTTATCGAAGAAACCTGAAAGAAATTGTAGAAGGGCTAAAACTATTCTCACCCCCTGAATTTTCTTTCAGAACTTTTTTAGGGGTCATGATACGGTTCTGAATTTTTTTGAGCTTGAAGACTAATCAATTACCTCCATTTTATTGCTCCTGTGAAAATGTCCTTCGCCGCATAGTTTCGAAGAAAAAAATGTTCTCTCAAATAACGCTACCAGATACTCCTATAGTACAAGAGTAAAAGTTTAATGAAATTGTGATATAAAACTTAGTTGGCAGTGGAAACAAAAGCAGAACGTTTCTTTATAATAAATGTTCAATATGACACCCACCTTCATTAAAACAAATATCAATTCGACGTAAAAAATTGAAATGCACCCTCCTTATTAGGACGTCGTCGTTGTCTCGTAGTGCGTCAACGGCATTTTAGATTCTGTTCCACAGTTGTTCGAAAGTATCAATTTGAACTTCATACATTTGTGTCTTTAACGCTCACCAGATGAAGAAGTCGCACGGATTCAAATCTGGAGACCGCGGAGGCCATTGAATAGGTGCTTCTTGTCCCCTACCCCTACCAATCCATCTATCAGGAAATTATTCGTTCAGAAATTGTCTTGTTGTCTGAAGAATTTATTGAAACATTTACAGACAACGTCAACAACAAACTTGAATGACAATAAATTTGTTTCCTGTCAAAATCACGACTTGCCTTCGTTTCCACTGCCAACTAAGTTTTATATCACAATTTGATTAAACTTGTACTGGGAATATCTGGTAGCATTATTTGAGAGAACATTTTTTTTCTTCGAAACTATGCGGTATAAGAAATTTTCACAGGAGCAATAAAATTAAGGTAATTGATTAGTCTTCAAGCTCAAAAAATTTCAGAACCGTATTATGACCACTGAAAAAGTTCTGAAAAAAATTTCAAGGTGTGAGGGTGGTTTTAACCCTTCTAGAATTTCTTTTAGATTTCTTTCATTACCAAAAGGAAAGTAATCCTCTAAAATACACTATTGCCAAATTTCATCAAATTCGTTTCACTTGTTTCTGAACAGCATACAAAAATGTGTTTTTTATGTGAACTTTGAACCCTTCTCACGGACAAACGGAACATTATGGCACATGAATAAATTGGGTCCATTCAACTTATTTTGACCTCTTCTATACGTGGAACCTCTGTGTGCCAGCAATTTTGGGACACCCTGTATATCCTAATGAAAAGAAATGACAATAATTCCCTAAATAATTTGTGTTTTATTCGAAATCAACATCGGCCCTTCAAATTTAACCACCCGATACAAGTAACTATTCTGAAATACAATTGACGCTATCTGAAATGCGATTGACTATTCTGAAATACAATTCACGTTTTCTAAAATACAACTGGAAACGATGTAGAACGCGAACAATACCTCACTCATGAAGAAAAAAATCCTCACCTGCGACTCTGACGAGCTCATCTCCGACGGCTTCTCCGTCACGCTGCTGTCGTCCGGCTGGTCGTCGTACCCCTTGAGGCTCTCCTCGTCCGAATTGTACGGCACCGAGGCGGGTGACGGCCGGGGCGGCGACTTGCCCCCGTGGGCGGCCGCAGAGGCGGGCGGCGGGGCGTGCTGGTGCCCGCCCGACCGCTTCTTGCCCAACGTGCCCGCGGAGGAGGGGGGGGCGCCGTTGCGCGGCCGGTGGTAGAAGTCGGAAGTGGCGAGATCGTGGTGGTCGGCCATCGACATCGCCATGGATTCTTCGAGGGTTTTCTGGGCCTCTTCTGCAAGGAAAACTACCGGATTGTATAATAATGATTGATGCACGGCTATTTCGGGAGGATTGCCCACGAAATAATAAACTTAACCTAACAATACACTGAATGCCAAACACGGATAAACGAATGAAATCGGGAATGGTGGAGACTAGGGTCCCTTGTATAAATTGACGTATTTGTCATCTCAACAGGGTACGGAAATATCCTCGTCTCCTCTCACTCTAAACAGTTTGTGAAACAGTTATATAGTTCCATCTTTATTCATTTCGTATCATACGTAATTTCCGCATGTAATTTCTCATTTAACTCTACATATTATATCCAAATGATGATGATAATTTTCGAGTTTTTGATTTGTCAACTCCAGCATAATCTTTGTGAGGCAGTGAGCAAATGTTTCTGGAAGTTTAATACGTTGTACCAAAATGGGACTGTTCTTAGGCAGTACCTATCAATAAATGAATTTCGACTTCAGACTAAGCCTTTGAACTAATGTGCTCGCTCATTCGTCATGTGTCCTGTGTATATTCATGTTGGAAACCATTTTTGCAGTTTTTCACGAACACTCAATATTTCCTGAATGTAGGTATAATTGTTTAAATGGTAGGGCATATGCCTCTTCTTTTAATCCTCCGTTTTAATCAACTGTTTCTACGAAAATGCATTCAAAAACTTGTGGAGTGGGTAATTATAGGCACAATGAGAAAGTATTATATGTGATTTCGTGATAGTTTTACCTCGAATATTTTGCTGATGTATTAACCAATTTTCTCCATTCGGTCACGTCACTTTCCATGTTCTAAGTTCATTTGCATTTCATGGAAATCTGACAAGTTCAAATTTGCCATCCAACTGATTGATACATCCTAACGCAGCACATTTTACCATCCTTCCAAAACAGAATGGAATAATGTCGTATTAAGATCAAGTATGAAGTTGAAATTTTGTAAGATCTCTTTTAACGCCTATGAATGTGACGTGACAGCAATGTCATGTCAGGGACGCCTATACACGAAACCAGTCACTAGATGATTAAAAGAGAAAGGAGCTATGATCTGTCCGTACCCTGTTAGATGACAAATACGTCAGTTTGCATGCGTGCTCCTATATTACGAAACAGTGCGGTGCCACCACGTTTATCTCTAGATAAATCAATTCCTACACGCAGAGTCATTTTGACATCGATAAAAAAGGATGCACCTTTTTTATCGCTGATAAACTGCCTGCTCCTTTGATCTAGTAGCTATTTGCGCCTGATGTTACTCCAATTTCTGTCGTGTCAAGTTTGATTGATGGGTATGGTTCACGCGTAAATTAGCAAGATGAGCCGTTTTAGGAAAATTTCGTCTGAAGAAACCACGAAAATGTGAGAAAATCAATTCCGCAAACTAACAGTTACACGGAATCATCAATAAAGGTAATCATTATTGTTGTTTATTTGTAAATTGTCGTTGATTTATCTTGCCACAAAACACCCGAACTTTTTTTTTAATTGGATAAATTTCCTTACAACTCATTTCCATCAGTTATTACTCTCGAAAAAAAAAAATGATTATTAGTATGAGTGTATTTCCGCCATAAGCTATTTATGTCGGGTTAAATAAGATATTTCTTCCAAAGAATCCTCTCGAATTATTGATTTGGCAGCGGTTCCACAAGTTCCTTGAAATGTGACGTAACTCCCTTAGAAGGAATGAGCAAACTAAATCACTATTTTCAACAAGGCCAGGGAAGCCGCGTGGTTGAAGCGTCAATATTCTATTCACGATGAATTGCCGGTTGGTAGGTTCGATTCCCACGACTGCAGAATTTTTTTGATGGCCTAAAAAGTGTTTGGGACCACACGTTGAAAGGTAAGGTCCCCGTCATTTCTTGCTCCCACAAGGCTCTCGAAGACTTCTGAACGTTGCTCGAACAGGGGCAACCGGATGACGGATACAAACAATTTCAGAACAACAACATTTTCTTTAGTTACTTTGAGGTTATTGCTGGCCTACCTCTGTATTCTTGTTCATGGTACATTATCTGAAATGGGCTAGTGGCTTATGGGTAAGGTCTCTAAATGACAAATCAAGTCACAGTCTTATTCAAACGGTCGAAATTATCCACTTATAACTACTGATTACATGACTCCCTGCATGACTTTTCCATTCTTACAACACATATTAGGTAATATACTATTCTATTCCAATTCACATGTTTCTCGAATTTTAACGTTCTATTACTACTCTTGCTTTTTGATATTTTTTCCAATTTCTACGAAATGTATGTATTTAAAGAAGATTACGCCGACAAAACTATTTCATTCTAGTAGCTTTATCATGCTACTAACTTCCAATCACTAATAATAATAATAATAATAATAATAATAATAATAATAATTAAGAAGCTTTATTGGATACCCAATTTTTTCAGTACTAAAATGATGCCATAGTCATATATCAAAATTAAATATCATCAATACCTAAAAGTTGCAATAATTGAACCTTCAAATTCGAATATAAACAACTTTTCTTCGTAAACTTTTTTGAAATTCAAACAAATAGGCCTATTTTCATCGATTGATTTGAAAAAATGTAACTTTTGATAACATGTAGCGAAAGTCACGTGACTCCGACCGAATAGGCCAATTTTTCATCTTTTTTGAAGCAAAAGTCAACGCAAAATTCGAGTTTCAAAATAAATTATTATTACAAGTTTTTCCCATATGATGCCAACTTTATGAATGACACTTTATAATTGCCAGATGTCAAAGTACATTTGGAAATGACAAAAATCAACTGCCTATAAACATTCATGAATCATAATTTATTGCTCTCTACCCACGAGGAAAGATTTCTAGTTGCTTTATTATCAGCTATAGATACTGTTAATTTGAGTGTATAAGACAAAACCGCTATTAATTCACCAGTTACTAGAGCGTGAGGTAGTCAAAAACCCCCAAAAATTTTGTCGGATAATCCTTGGAGGCTAAGGCCTATATTTTCGAAAATCTTATGAGACAATGTTGTGGCCTATGTGAACAAATTGAAGAACTCAAGATATGGTAATGGTTGGACTTGATCAGTCTTGCGATTTCAATTCTCAATATGAAATGGTACAATGCAAAGTTCGCATTGACATAGAAGAAGATATCGTAGGAAGAAGCCAAATGAAACAAAAAGAAGAAATGCTATTATCAGTTCTACCAACCCTGACCTCACGTTTCAGTAGCGTAATCTGGTGCCCTGGTGAATAATCAAATATGTTAGCCTGCATTATAAAAATATGGATTTTTCAAATGATTATTCATGCAATTAATGTTCTAGTCGCTTACTTACGTTTGTATTTGTAACTTTTGCTCTTGACACACAAAATAGCAATAACCATGATGATGATGATTATCGATATTGCCGCTAGCGCTACCATGAACCATGTCTGCCTATAGAACGGTGTGTGCTGTAAATATCCATATTCCATGTAAAGTTTCGATGGGGTCAGAACAGACTCATCGGAATAAGCGGGGTAACTTATGCCAAACTTGTTGTAGGGGATGACACGAAATTTGTAAGCTGTAGAGGGCAACAGACTCTGGTAGAGAACGGTGAACTCTTGTAGCGGTCCGTTGATCGTTTTGGTGACAGTTTGCCATCTTGTGTCATCTGAAAAAAACGGAGACAGTGTTCAACTGTTCAACTGATTTCGTAATCCACAAGATACGCTCTTTCAAAAGTATAATAAGATATAGTGGAAATGCAATATGGAGAACTAATATAACGTTTTTCAAGCTCCTACAGAGTTTATATGTAGGCCTAGGTAGCAACAGTGGTATTTTTTACAATGATAATGTATCTATTACATGATCGTTGCATACACCATTTTTTATACGACAAAAAATAATACAATATAAACATGAATGCAATACAAACTATTTATATTTCAACATCTCCAGTCCATGAGTATCCTCCACTTTTGACGCGTTGTGACTGAATGCCAATTGAAATTACATGTCGGACAACTCGAACAAGTATGTACAAACATAGACCCGTTTGACAAATTACGTGTTTCTATAGACCGAAATTTCGTTTCGTAATGGAAAGTACTTATTTCCATTGGCCAAAATATGTTTCATAATAAGAGCGCTGTTGAAATGAACAATATTGAAAAAATCTCTAGTAGATATTCAATTCGCGTATTTGTTATACGGGAGTAGACAACATATTCTTAAATAAATGACAGTACCTCAGGATCAATGTCATTGACCAGAGTATAAAAGAAAAGTAGGCTCTAATGACCTTTTGGTTCAGCCTTGTATATGCTCATATCCGTTGAAATAACCAGCTAAATAACTATGTTAAAAATAGGATAGCATTGCCTAATGCACATAAAATTTGCAGCAATGTACTGGACACCAGGGGGTGGAGGGCAACGAGAAAGCCGACATCCTCGCCAAACAGGGAACCGAATCCGTATTCATAGGACCAGAACCATACTTTTTGGGATCACCGCAAGTGCGGCCAAAACAACTATCTCGGGCGGAGGAGAAAAGACTCACGTACTGGTCTGAATTACCAGGATTAACCCATTCGAAATCGTTTCTGCCTAAACCATATTTAACCAGGCAGATCCTAGAATGAAGCAGGGGTAACCTGCGAATTCTGACAGGACTGGTTACGGGTCACTGTCGTCTAAGATACCACCTGGGAAGGATGGGTCGGAACCAACAAATGGACTGTTGGATCTGCTGTGTGGAAGACGAAACAGCTGAACACATATTATGTTCATGCTCTTGCTTAGAGAGACTGAGGCTCGACATATTTCGCTTTATCAGTTGAGAACCTATCGATTTCAGACAAATCTCGCCTAATTCAACAATGGACTTCGCAAAAAGAAGAGGATTGTACAGTGAATTGTAACCTCTAGGGGTAAGCCACAATAGACCCATCTGGGGTCGCAGTGGAGGGGCAATGTTCTCTATTCGTCGAAAGTCAATTGGTCGAATATGCAAATTAGCCGAATACGTCAGTCAGTCAGAAACCTTTATTTCACACTCGAATCATGAACAACCAAATACAGTTATTTGAGTTTATATTTCTCCTGTCACTGTTGAGTCTCAGTTCTTATTCCATCGCTGAAGAAAGAAGAATAATCAAAACCCGAGCAAAAACCCTGTCAGCTTCAAACTGATGCAACTTCTAGAAGATTATGGGAAATATTTGAAAATGAATGAATAGGTCTGCTTCGTTATAATTTATGTTTCAATCATTCAGGGATTCGATACATATTCTATTCAATTATTAACTAATGACACAGTATTTGAAACTAGAGTCACTGGATTGTTCAAACTAATACCATCCAGTGACTCTATTTGAAATTATGAGCAATACTTCTCAAGTAATCGACATATTCAGTATTTTCAAAATCATCGACAACATATTTATATTTACTCTCTTGTCTAGATCGACATGAATTTTCATACGTTTCTCGTCATTACAGCCACCGTATGTTTCAATTCGAGTTCAAAATATTGTTCTTCTCTTATACCGTTCAATATATTATTCCATATTGAAGGATGACTACAAGGGATGGAACTTCCTAATCTTCTATGCCATGCTCATGAAAAATTATTCGATCTAGGCAGATCTTCATCGTTCATAAAAATTCCAATCATCAATGGCAAAATATTGTATTCATAGACAACCTATCAGTATATACGTATCTTTGAATTAATATAAATCTGTAGGGCTTCTGGAAGGAGAACTAGAAGAACTTCGGAAATACATTCGAAATATGTTATAACATGAAAGTCGACGAATTGACCCAATTGAGTCCAACTGACGTATTCGGCCAATTGGCGTATTCGGCCAATTGACTTTCGACGAATTGACTTCGATGAATTGACTTTCGATGAATAGACTTTAGTTCAATTGACATCGACCCATCTTTGAGCTGAAAAATTGCATTCGTATCTCTAACTACTTATGAATCATTTTCTTACCTTTTCTTCTAGATTCGATGTAATACCCAAGGATAGGTCCTTTGCCAGTAGGTCCGTTGAACCACCTGAGTTCGATGCTGGACAAAGTCTTGACCAAGCTCAGTTCCTTGGGCGTCCCAGGTGATCCTTCTTGAGGGCCTGTCGTAACATTGCTGGAAACGGCGGGACCGAAGTCTATTGTTTGGGCCTTGACTCGAAAAGTGTAGGTGATCTCTTCTTCCAAGCTTTGGATTTGCAGGAATGTAGCTGTCACTTTTTGTTTCACTTGCTTGCTGAAACCTATGAAGAACGTTCATTTCCAATGAAATTTCACATGCCAACGATATCTTCGAAAAGTATTCACAAAGTTTCTTGAAAAGGATTTTTTGTATTAGGCTAGCGCAACGCATTGTTTTCCGGGCGTTGCCATGGCTCCGAAATTAGGTGTTTGTGAGCCGAAAGCATTTAAGGCGTTTCTTTCACCTTTTTTGCTTTCGGACGAAAGCAAAAAAAGGTGTTTTTTCCGTGACGGGAAAAAAGTTTGGCATTTCATCTCTGTTGGCAGGTTATAAAATGTCACTTTTCATAAATTACTTTTTTCCCGTGGGAAAAAAGTGAGTACTTTTTTCCCGGATATATATCACATATATATACACTGTTGATGGCTTTTGTTGTGCTATAGTTCCGAAAAATGAGTCAAAAATACCGTCTCCGAGAAAAAACTGCAAGTCCTTTTATCTTCCATTCAACTTCGCGGTTACGTATATTACTAAACAACCACTAAATTCGCAATTTCTTGAAATCAAATCACAGAATTAGACTGACAGAAGTGACATCAGATATTTGATTACTTCAAAAGAATGATAAAGATGCCTACATAACGCAGGTGTCCCTACTGTTAAAAATTGAAACTTCACGTCGATAATTTTCAGATTTCAAAATAATGTAATATCTCTCAAGTCTCAATATTGATTCGTCCTTTCTTCTGTCACAGAAAAAAATAGTGTATTATACACGGGAAAAATATTAGATTTTAACTCACGGTTTTTTGTCTCCCTCACGTTTTCGTGTAATAAATCTTCTGTCACAGCCCGAGCTGCTTGAATCATCTCCGCGGCTGGTTTAATTAATTCAATTAATTTAAAAATATATAATCACTTGCCGGCTGATCTCAAAGATGAAAGTATTGCTCTCACAAGCATATTATAATATGAATGATTATTACTGTGATAATATATAAATCTTCATGTTTTTGTTCTACCTATTTATTTATTCATTTTTTGATTTTGTTAATGTTTATATATTCGTGTGACTTATAGCGTATTCGACAGAATTGCACTGACACGGTATAGATGCGTATTTAGCACTGAACTGACTTCGGACAAAATTTATTCAGTTCGAACCCATTCAGAGCAGAAGCATACAGATAATGCGAATTATTCTGGCACTGTATTGATGAAGTTCAATATTGACATTATGAATATTCAACTGGTATGTTGACGACAGCGTGTTATTGGGATCCTAATGCTGGATCAAGCTAGATCTAACCAAAGATTTTATTTCTAAATTGAGAAATTATCAAATTATTTTTTAAATCTCGAAGTATGGAGAGAATAATTATTTGCGGTATAATGAGTACATTTTGTGAATAATTAAAGGTTTCGATGGTGTATAGGTATAATGCAATTCTGTCATTTACTAGGAATACCTGATACTCCAATATTTTATTGAAATGTCTGGGTATCATTAATTTTCTATTTTCCTGCTTCATCCCACTTCGATTTTATGAATCCATCACTGTTGCTCGACAATGACAATGAGGAAATCAATTGCTAATAGTTTTATTACGTTTATTTCGAAATCTGATTAGTCCCTGTGGCTATTTTTATGACTTGATCGATTTAGCATTTTTTAGATTTTTTAGATTTTGTTGTTGTTGTTGTCACCTTATATTATTTTATTATTGTTGTTTGTAATCAACTTCCTCATACCAGAATTTTATTTCTGACTGCCGACTGGAAGCTAGTTTCTCAATGAACAATGTATTTAAACACCCACTAACTTTCAGCATTTTCCAGCCCGTGACTTTGGCACCGTCAGAAATTGTTGTGCGAAAAGAATCGAATTAACGAGCAATTTTACCAGTCAAACAAATTCTGCTTTACCGTTGAGTAGTACCTGTTCAGCCAAATAGAAATAATACTGGTACTGTCTGAGTGCATACCAGCCGAACACACACGCACGACAAAAATTGGAATTGAATGCGCAATAGTGCAGCCAGTCGAATACGCTATTATTTTATATCTATCTGTGTTGACGTTTTGACGTTTATAAATACTTTATGTTGTATTGAAACAATGTATTTCCAATTTTCATATACAAATTTGTACTCTGCTTTGTCATTAAGATCCCATCTTGGACAATGAAGCTCATTTGATTTGATTATTATATGATGAAAAATCTTGCAAGAAATGAATGAATCTTTCCATGTAGAATACGTACGCTCATTCTCCTCCGTGGTCTCATACGTGACGATATAACTCAGAATATCCCCGTTCCGCTTCTTCGGCGGGTCCCACGCCACCACCAGACTGTTCATCGTGATGTCGTTGAACCGCAAATTCGCCGGGGCGCTCGGCAGCCCCTGCAGCGTCTTCACCCGGATGCTCTGCGATCGCGGCCCGTCCCCGGCCGGATTGAACGCCAGGATTTCGATTCTGTACTCGGTGTACTTGTCGAGGAAGACGAGGCTGTGCGAGGTGGTGGAGGCAGGGACGACTTCGATTTCCTCCTCCCACTTTTTGCCGTCCTCGAGGTCTTGCGGGGAGTTGAGGACCAGGTAGAAAATCTAGAACGGGATAATTTGATGATTTATTTATTTATTTATCAAACATATCTTCCAGTCAGAACAAGTTCTGGTACGAGGAAGAACATAATTATAAAATAATAAGTAATATATACAGTGAGGACGTAAAAAGTCCTTCCCCCCCCCCTTATCTTTTGAACGGAAGAAGCTATCGAGGTCGGGTAAAATTCAGGTAAAAAGGTACTACTTTTACTACTTTTTGGCATAAAAATGATTGTGGTCACGTGGCCTAGTGTCAAGAGGGTACCATCAACTTTTTTTTTTCAAATGTAAAAGGGGGTCACGTGGCACCTGGTTTTGAAGGCCTTCCGATTCTCTATCCACCACCGCTGTGTTGGTGAAAATCGACCAAGCCGTTTCAAACTGACAAGTGTTTGAAATTTGCTTCAAAAATTTTCCAAATAAATTAAAAACCTAAATAACTTTTAATTGCAACAAAATTTTAATCAACAATTTCAACTATTTTAACAAGTGCTCGAAATGTTCACCGTTCACTTCTTGACAGAAAAAAAGTCGGTTTTGGAATTCATTCCGAACTTTATTAAATGTTTCCGGGGTAATACTGTAACACACATCTGTTATTCGGTCCATAAGTTCCTGGAGTGACTGTGGCTGCATGACGTACACCTTAGATTTTATGTACCCCCACAGAAAAAAGTCCATAGGTGTCATATCAGGTGACCTAGCTGGCCATTCAATGGGGCCACGTCGGCCTATCCACCGTCCTGGAAAATGCTCGTTAAGCCATTCTCGGACAGGTCTGTAGTAGTGAGGGGGTGCACCATCTTGTTGAAAGGTAATATCCATGGTAAACTCATTTGGGTTTGCCCGAACTACTTCTTGAATACTGTGATGGATCTGATCAGTGACGGAGTTGAAATTCTGCTGCAATTAGTAGTTGAAATAATTTCTTTGTGAAATTTTTGAAGCAAATTTCAATAGCTTGTCAGTTTGAAACGGCTTGGTCGATTTTCACAAACACAGCGGTGTTGGATAGAGAATCGGAAGGCCTTCAAAACCATGTGCCACGTGACCCCCTTTTACATTTGAAAAAAAAAGTTGATGGTACCCTCTTGACACTAGGCCACGTTACCACAATCATTTTCATGCCAAAAAGTAGTAAAAGTAGTACCTTTTTACCTGAATTTTACCCGACCTCGATAGCTTGTTCCGTTCAAAAGTTAAGGGGGGGGAGGACTTTTTACGTCCTCACTGTATATATAAACTACTACACAAACATGAGTAGAAGTGAACATGAATAATAATTCATAATAAATCAGGATATCACAATAACACAAAACAAGGAAAGAAATATAGATATATTGAAAAAATATCGAATTCTTAATTATCTTTGGACAAATAAAAATATTTTGCATCTTCATGTTGAGAACGGGAGCAGATTCGTTCCCGAAACGTCCAAAGATAGCTAAAAATTCGATATTTTTTCAATATATCTATATTTCTTTACTTCCAACATTTTCTCAAACGAAACTGAATTTTTCTTTTAGGCTCCCTGATAAAAAATATTTGTTAAACGCAGTGACATTTTGGGACAAATCATCTGTTTTGTCACACTACAAATATATTGAAATCATACGCATATATTTATTTTATAGAAACGAGGAGAGAAAATCCCAAAAAATCAAGTAAAATGAATGGTTTATTATTTATTGATAAAACATTGTTTTTTTTCTGACGCATCCAATATCATACATGTCTGTTTAAACCTTCTATATGGATATGTCTTGATCTGAAAGGAATTAGAGCAATTTTGAATTTTGAAACTCTTGTAGTTTCCAAAATACCCATAAGACACCCATACTGGCCCTCTTTAACTTGGACACAGTATCTAAGTCAGTGGTCCCACAGCAAAACAGAATTATCAAAGCCGCCTTACCTTGTAGCCCAACAGCTCCCCGTTCTGCATCCGCTGCTGCGGCGCTTTCCATCTCAGCCGCACCTCGGTCGAAGACACCGGTTCGCCTTGCAGGCCGCGCGGCTCCCCCGTGGGCACCGCCTCCCCCACGTACACGGTGATGGGGGGGCTGGCGGGGCCCTCGCCCTGCGCGTTGAAAGCCACCACCACGATCTCGTAGTTCCTGTCCTGCAGCAAGTCGGTCAGCACGATCTTACTAGCCTGCAACAAGTATTGGAATCAACTACGAAATAGCCACAATGCTCAAAGTGGAATGAAATGTTAAATAAATACAAGAAGCTCAAAGTCATATCCACATAATGTTTATGAAATGAACAACAATGGTAGATTTCCGGAGAAAAACAACTACTTTCCTGGCTAATGCCACGCAGAACATTGAATTACATCCTCCCAACAAATCTATACATCGACTCGTATAAACGAATACTGACACAAGTGAATCTTTCCTGAATGCCTATTGATTTCGATTTAGCCAGGCCACGCTAGACACCCACAGACCGGTTTCGAGCTCTTTGACTCTCATCAGGGCAGGTAGTCTCCAGACAGTAGTCCTGAGACTGCCGACTCAGCGTAGCCTAGCCAAACTAAAATCAAGTCGGCGTTATATATTTTCCCAGAGGCGTCTTTCATCGACAATATTAAAGCAACGCCATCTGACTAGAACAGAAGAAAAAAATCACTCCAAAACTGAAATTCCCATACGGGAGTGGATGGTTGCCCGACTGACAAAAAGCTCAAAGTCATATCCACACAATATTCATAAAATGAACAACAATGGTCGCTTTCGGCAGAAAAACACCTACTTTCCTGGCTAATGCCACGCAGAACATTGTATTATATCCTCCCGTAATCTATGCATCGACATGCATTCAGGAAATATTCAGTTGTATCAGTATTCATTTATACGAGTCGATGCATAGATTTCGGGAGGATGTAATACAATGTTCGGCGTGGCATTAGCCAGGAAAGTAGTTGTTTTTCTCCCGAAATCCACCATTGTTGTTCATTTTATGAACATTGTGTGGATATAACTTTGAGCTTCTTGTATTTATTCAAGTATTGGAATGATAAAATTGGCAGACTCGTGCTGGACCCATAGGCCCCTTGCACACGAGCGGTGTATTCGCCGGGCGGTAATTATGCCGACCGGCAGAAAAATCGTGTATGGTTGGCAGACGGGAGACGGTAAGAAAGTGCCTCAGTCTTTATTTACCAACCAAATCAACAAACGTGGGACAAGAACAGGACGAACGGTTCGAGAACAATATTTTAAGCAAGATATAGTATCGGTTTATCATAATTAAATGAAAAACAAATACATGCTTACAATTTTCTTCGTTTTTTCATCCTCCCCCTCAAAGTTCTAAACAAAAAACAGCATATTTCCTCCCAAGCTTTCCTTCTCTTCTGTCTATCTTTAACCTCTTCGGTGGTCTTGTCCCACTAAACCGGCCTTTGCTCCACCGCCGTAATATGCAGTTCGATATCGACCTCTTTTTTGAGCTCCATCTCTTGCACTATCTGCACAAATACTGACCTGTGCACCACTAGCGAACGCTCACAGATTCTGAGATCGTGTGCAAACAAGTAATAACTCGCATGCTTTCAGACGACCCGGGCAGCGTATAGCCATTCCCCCGTACAGTACAGAGCACACCGTCCGATTAGGTGCTCTGAGACGCACTGGACTTTGTTATGATTTATTTCACGCCGACACAACAAACCCCAGTGCATTCCAGAGCAAACGGTTGCATTTTTTTGACACTAGTCCTCGTTGGAATAGAAGGAATGTTAAGGATGGTTATTCACAAGCATTAGTTTTCTTTCCAAACACCTACCTCCTCTCCCTATCCTCCCTAGGTACGCACGTTGTTCCACGAACATTATAGGAAATGCCTTTCGTGTGCTCCAAGATATGAAAAAAATAAAGTCACATAGGGTACCTACTATTCCAAATATGAGGATAACAGTCACCTACCTACTGTCCAATTTTGAGGACAACAGTTGTAAGTAATTTTGAAATCATACTCATTATACTCATACACACAGAAAAGTAAATTTTATAACAACTTTTGGATCAATATGAAATAATGTCATTTCTATCATCAACTTTATTGAAATGATTCAGCAAGCAGTTTGAAATCATTGCAAACAGCACCATACTATAGAATAGAGAAATGTCAGGTTCAACTTCGCATGGTTGCGATAACGTCAAACATACAAATATAATGAATTCATCATTGAGTTTGACGTTATGATATTTTGTTTTTTATTAGTGCGAGATAATCATGGAGAAAGTATACTGTACAACATATATTCCAATCTCGCGAACCGAAATCCTCGTCTAAGACTTGAACTACAAACTTTTCGCGCGTTTGAAACAAACCAGATTTTTCATAAAATTGATTTGAATGATATGAATTGCTTGTTGAATGATTTCAACACAGTTGATCAAAATGGCGAAGGTTAGTGTTAGTAGTATTTTTCATATATAACGGTAGTTACAATTATCTGAAAAGTTCAGATCTCTAATTCGAGTTCAATTGATTTTTCAGGCCGCTTACGCATATACGTACATACTAAATTGCATATCTGAGTAACATGGAAAAATCCTATATTTTATGCGAGGAGGTAGTGCATAATTTCTGCTCTGAAACGTACTGGGGTTTGTTGTGTAGGCGTGAAATTGATCATGAACAAAGTCCAGTGCATTTCAGAGCACTATGTCGGACGGTACGCTCTATGCTGTTCAGGGGAATGGCTATACGCGACCGGGCTACAGGTCTACCGGCCGGTTGCCGTGTGTCGCCAGATTAGACCGTTAGCCGGGCGGTTAATTTGTCAGTGCCGTTCTGTGTGCAAACCCCCATATAATATCTTGTATCAAAATATTCCACGATTTTCTGTCAGCCGGCAGAATTTTCGCCCGGCGAATACATCGCTCGTGTGCAAGGGGTCAAATACGATTAATTAACAATATGGATAACAACGGGTACCAGGTGGGAGCCTAAAATATGAAACAAATGATTATCCATTAGGATTTGGTGGTATGACGCGCAAGCGCAAATATATGTTTAATCGTTTCATAAGGGTATGACATTCTGTTGTTTTTCCTTACGTTTCGCGGAAATGTTTAGTAGCAGAAGTTTGATGGATATTATGAATTGAATGACAGAGTATATTTTCCTTCTAATTACATCCCTGTCGGAAATTCTTGAAAATTACACTTTCACTACATAATATTATATTCAACATGAAATTGCCATCCTAACCCATTCGAAAATGTGGTTATACTGTAGTAGTAGTTGGAATAAATTGAATGTTTACATGTGGATAATGGGCTTATATCACAAAAAAATTTCATTTCATAATTCGATAGAACTCACCCAAACTAGCTCACCACCGCAAACCGTTTCTTGCTGTGAGCGCCCTTTATAAAAAATTATTGAAATCCCCGATTTTTCGGACCTCTGAAAACGAAGCGATGATATGACGTCAGTGTTAATAAGTGATATACGATAATATATTTAAATAGATTCAGATTATCTTTATTCAAAATTCATTGACAATCTATCTCTTGTCATCTGGCCTGACGTTGTTATGTACAGTAAGATACTTAACATTATATTTTATTTTAAAAGATAACTAGATTATCTAACATCTCCCTTTTCAACAAATACTTAAACATTTTCTGAAGTAACGAATCTATGTGGAGGCTTAACAATTCGGCCACTTCTAGTTGTGATACTACTACGATCTGCCTGACTACGATCTGCCTGTATATCTAATCTTTCACCCTCATAATCTTGACTTGTTTCATCGCTTATCTCTTCTTCATTCATTTTCTCTTGATCCATACATTTCTCATTATTATCTTCTCTAATTCTCATGGAATATTTTTCTCTATTTTCATTTTCTTCTACATCCAATTTTGTGTGTGATGAGGAAGAAGGATTGAACACATGATGGTTTGCTTGATTGAATACTTTGATGAATTACATATTTCGAACATACTCTGAACCATCATCTGTCCTTACAAGGTATGAACGAAATCTGAACTTATCTTTGACAATACCAGGTTTCCAACTACCTTTTGGTGTCAACTGAACTAAAATTCTATCATTGATATTCAAATTTGGTAATTCTCTGACACCTTTTTTGTCATGATACATTTTTTGAATTCTTTGTGTTTTTTCTAAAAAATCGGAATATTTCTCAGTGTCAATAATCTCAGGCTTCAAACTTTGTTCGGTACAAGGAAGTATAGATCTCAATTTTCTAGACATGAGAATTTGAGATGGAGAAATATTTTCATGTATTGGCATATTATGATACAATAAAATAGCGAGATACAAATCTTTTTGATCCTCCAAAGTTTTTTTAAAAATTGCTTTCGCATTTTGAACTTGTCTTTCAGCCATTCCATTAGACTGAGGATAAGTGGGTGAGCTAAAAATATGTTCGAATTCCCATTCTTTGGAGAATGATTTGAATTGATTTGAAGAAAACTGGGGACCTCCATCAGATACAAGAATCTGTGGAATACCATGCCTAGCGAAAATAGATTTTATTTTTGTTATAATGCAGTTACTACTAATATCTCGTGGCAATTTCTCTATTTCTACAAATTTAGAATAATAATCTATCAATAATAAATATTTTTCATTTTTCAATTCAAAAATGTCACACCCAACTTTGTTCCAAGGAAGCCTTGGTATTTCATGAGATATGAGAGGCTCTGATAACTGAGAGTTGGAGTATTTTTGACAAATGAAACAGCTATCTATGAATTGTTTGACATCATTAGTTATGTTCGGCCAAAAAACAGAATCAGTTGCTAATTTCAAACATTTCTTTGTACCCAAATGATTGTAATGAATTTTGTTCAACATTTCTCTTCTCATACTTTGAGGAATCACCAACTGTTGTCCTTTATAAATTAAATCTTCAATAATAGTGAGCTCGCTTCTATATTTGTAATAAGGGGTCGTGAATTCATTCAATTTTTTGCTATTATTAGGCCATCCATTCATAATAATTTTCTTTAACTCTGACAATTGACGGTCTTGATTAGTTTCATTTCTAATTTCTTGATTTTTAGAATCTGTTATATTTATCTGTGAAGTTATAAGACAAACCTGAGCTTGAAGTTCAATATCAAAATTATCATCACCTGTATCATCGATATAAGCTCGCGATAACATATCTGCTATTATCAATTGTTTTCCTGGCTTGTATTTAAGATCAATATCATATTTTTGTATTTGCAGTATCATTCTTTGGAGACGTGCTGGACATTTGTTCAGAGGTTTCTTGAAAATTGATATTAAAGGTAAATGATCAGTTTCTACAATGACTTTTTTCCCAAATATATATTCACTGAATTTATTCAATCCAAAACAAATAGCTAGCATTTCTTTCTCAATTTGAGCGTATCTAATTTGAGTGTCTGTTAATGCTTTCGAAGCATAGGCACAAGGTAATCCATCTTGAAGTAATACAGCTCCCAAACCAGCTTTAGAACTATCTACAGAAATGATTGTATCTTTAGAAACGTCAAAAAATTTTAAAACTTTGCTAGATATTAAAATGTTCTTCAAATTTTCGAAAGATTTCTCTAGGGCTGATCCCCATTGAAACATTATATTTTTCTTTAATAACTCCCTCAATGGAGTAGTCTCAGTAGAAAAATTTGGAATAAATTTACTCAAATAATTCAACATCCCTATGATTCTTTACATGTCGGTCTCGGTAAATTCTTTATAGCATTGACTTTATTCTCATCGATAGATATACCCTCAGCGGATATCATATGACCCAAATATTTTATATTGTTTTTACCAAATTTACATTTCGAGAAATTAAATTTTATGTTATTATCCTTAGCAACCTCTAACAGTCTCTTCAACCGATTATCATGTTCTATCTTATTTTTTCCCCACACAATTATATCATCTATGTATACATCAACTCCTTCACATTCACTGAAAATTGATCGAAATCTTTCATGAAATACTTCAGGAGCTGACTTTATACCAAAAGGCATCCTCAAAAATTTATATCTGCCAAAAGGAGTACCAAATGTACATAGTTCTGAACTAGTTTTATCTAACAATATTTGATAAAATCCACTCGTAGCATCCAGACTACTGAACACTTTTGCTCCATTCAACTTACAAGTGATCTCATCAATAGTTGGAATTTGACAATATTCTCGTTTGATTACTTTGTTCAAGTCTTTTGGATCTAGGCAAACTCTGATAGAACCATCTGGTTTTTTTACCAAAACAAGAGCATTTACCCAGTCACTAGGACCATTCACTTTTTCTATTATTTTTTGACTCTCAAGATTTGCTAAGCAATCTTTCAATTTTGGTAGCAACGGTAATGGAACTCGCCTGATAGGATGTACCACTGGTGTAGCACCATCAATTATTTTAATATGATATGGGTCACGTAAACACCCTATTCCTGAAAATATTTCTCCATACTGATTTAAAATGGAATCATAATCAATTTTTTCAGAAAGGTCATCAATTTTTTGAATAATATTCAACATTTGACAAGAAGGCAATCCTAAAATTGCTTGTGTTCTAGTTTTTACAATGAAGAAATCCATCGGAAATGCCGTTTTTTTATAAATACAAGAAATATTACAAACACCTACTATATCCAAAGAGTTTCCAGTATACGATTTCAATTTCATGTCAGTTTCCATTATTTTAGTTTTCGTAATTCCAACTTGGCTCAAATGTTCTAATGATAATACATTGCACATTGCTCCGGTATCAATTTTCATTTTCAAATCTATATTATTTATAGTAATATACGTGTACCATACATTATCAAAACCCTGATTATCAACTGCATCTATCTCAATAGTGCCTACAAAAAAGCCATCATTTTCATCTGAATTTGAGTTTCTAGGATTATCATTTTCAATTTCATTCACTTTTCTATTTTTACATACCTTCGAAAAGTGATTTCTCATTTTGCAAATGGAACAAAATTTTCCATATGCTGGACATTCATTAATTCCATGATTATTACTACATTTCGAACAAGAATATATAATTTTATTTTTGTATGTACTCGTTGGAAACCTATTATTGCCATTTGAACTAGTCCTAAACCGTGAATTATATTGTGCCTTATTGACAGAACCTATGACAGATGTAGTATTTTCACCTGCTTCAATTTCTTTGCATTGCTCCTTGGATGTTTCTAAAATCTTGCATTGCTCTATTGCTTGATCTAACGTGAAATTATCATTCTGCAGAAGCTTTTCTCTAATTTCATTATTTCGAACTCCACAGATTATCATAGTTTTGATGAGACTGTCCTGTAAATTTTCTAACTTGCATTTCTGGGCTTGTTCTTTGAGTCTGATGAGAAAACTCTCCAGTGACTGACCAACTTCCTGTCTCATGGTGAAAAACATGTATCGTTCATATGAAAGATTTTCTTTGGGTAAGAAGTGCTGTTCAAAATTTTTCAAGAGTACTGCTAACTTATCTCTATCAGCGGCGGGAATTTCAAAGGTTCGGTAAATTTTGAAGCATTCTTTTCCAATGTAATGTAACAGCTGGGCACACTGGGTACTTTCTTCCTTCTTATTCACTTCTGTTGCTTTCAAATAATTCTCAAAGCGGGATCGCCATATCTTCCAGTTATTTGCTATATTTCCATCTAATCTCATAGGACTGATACCTCGCTCTCCCATCATTTATTTATTTCTGTATATACTTGCTTTGAACGATTAGGTTTTACGACTGCGCCATGTTAATAAGTGATATACGATAATATATTTAAATAGATTCAGATTATCTTTATTCAAAATTCATTGACAATCTATCTCTTGTCATCTGGCCTGACGTTGTTATGTACAGTAAGATACTTAACATTATATTTTATTTTAAAAGATAACTAGATTATCTAACAGTCAGAACCCTAATACTGAAACAAGACTATTCCAGACAGAGATGAATGATACATGATTTCTGACTGAGTGACTTAGCGCGAGATCACAGTTGAAAGAATTAATATATCAGTTGCCTCAGTCTCCGTCGGGCATTTGGTATTTTCTTTTAACTATGGCGAGATGAGGCTTCTACGTCATAAGAGGTTCCGTTTTCAGAAGGCACTATTATTCATGTCCAAAAATAAAACATTCCAGTTAATTGTTCGATCGAATTATGTTGTCAATCATTATTTATGTATAAAAGGATCATTATAAACATGGTTTGAGTTAAAAGTTCTACTGAGGTGTACACGCCCATTCTTGATGTCCTATTATATGCACCATAATGAAAAGGTATAGTGAAAAAAAAAATTCAATAAATTGCCTCCCTCTATGAAAAGTCAGGTTTATGGCTTGTAGCGTGAATAATGGACCGATGGCGCTAGCCGAGGGCCATTACACGCTGAAGGCCATAAACGCATTTCACGCACGTGATACATACAAAATTTTATGCACTAGTGGTTTATTTTCTGACTCAAGAGTAATGACTATAACTATATGACAATAACTAATATTCCCTCGAATTTAATTTGTTACCTATGAACTCAGTAATCAAGAGAAGCGTAATGTTCATGGATGATTTACATATCAAAATTATCCTACGGATATTGCAATTATCATAATAGTAAAACTCTTTGGTCTCTAGAAGAGATTCAATCTTCAGAATTTCACAATATGCATACCCAGTATACATACCTACCTAATTATGACGTTGTCAAGCAAGCTGAAAGGTTGTTGTCTATACTCTATAGCAATACATTCAATAAACAAGCTGAATTGTCATTCTTTGACTGAAAAGTAAAAATTAGTGAATACTAATAGCCAGACTATGGAATCGGATAAAGAAGAAGTTCATGATATACCGCTGAATATATTAGAATCTAGAAAAATGATCATATATTTTTCATGAATCGATAGGTGTATTTCAAGAAACTAAGAACAGCGGGCGGTTACGTGCACTTTGAGGCCCGTGGGCCATAATGAGCCCGCAGGCGGTGAAGTGCAACTTAACGCCCGCAAAACCGGGCGGTAATGTGCACTTTACGGTCCGCTAGTGCATAAAGAAATAAATCGTGATTGATTGAGAATTCAGAAATGTTTGAAATTTGTTTGAATACAAGATAATACTTACGCAACATATGTTTTTATAGTTATTTTTAGATATTATGAATATGTGTTTATTATGAAAATTGTACTCAATGAGAAAGTGAATTTCAGTTAGTGGAAGGAAAAAAAATTAAATGATCATGGACAAGTTTCAAACTTTTTTGATCATGTTTTTATTGAAGAAAAAAATGTATATTACTATTAATATAGTATACTGAAATATATATGTTATTTCAAACATAAATAAAAATATCAATTGATTATTCTTCTTTCCAAACTACTAGGTAAGTGTACCTGCTAAGTGTAACCTACTGGTACGATACCATTTGATAACATAACCACACTGATGACTAGAATTTACAAACAAATACTTACACTCTTATTGCTTATAATATCCAGCTCGCAACTAAAATTATAAGTCATCCTAAAACATCCACTCACATTTATTCCCATGACCTCCTCGTTCGGGGTGGCCTGCAGGGCGGTGGGAAAGTCGGACACGGGCTGGAACACCACCCTGTATCCGCCGCTCTTCGTGTCGCCGCTCCAGAACTGCTCCTCCGCCGGCTCCCACAGCACCTCGACGCTCGTCGTCGTGATGGGCACCGCTTTCAGCCCGGTCACGCCCTTGCTGGGCGCCGCAGGGTACGTCCTGACCTGGATGAGATCACAACACGGGCGTTCTTACCATGATAGTCATATTACAAGATGACATGCAATCTTCAAACTCTGATTTATAGAATAAGATAAAACGTTTCCAGAACGTTTCACCTAGGGTCACTTGATGGAAATTGACGTTAAAGTCATCTTTACAGGGTACGGACAGATCCTCGTCTCCTCTCACTATAAATTGTTTGTGAAACAGTTATATAGCATCCTTATTCAATTCTGGGGATAAACACTAGATTTTTGACATTCGTTGTTTTTTAGGTTATATTGAGGTCACTGGCGTAATACGTAATTTCCATATGGAATTACTGATTCAACTATACCAAGGTATAGATGAAAAATCCTCTAGCTTTAGAGTCTACTACTCCAGCATAATCTTTGCGGGTAGAGAGCATATAAATTGTACTGAAAGCTTAATATATTTCACCAGAAGAGACTCTTCTTAGACTATATACCACCGGGGTTGACTGAATTGACTGAATGAATTCTGATTTCAAGCTGAGCAGTAGTTTATCTATGGGCTGAATGAGCTGAGCCTTATGATTGAGAAATGGTGAAAACCTCGATACCAATTTTGATTTTTGATAAGAATCGGATCATAATTACAAAATTCGTTTGCCATATTGGATCCGCTATCTTGAATTCCCCAATTTTGACCAAAAATCATAAACTTCGACCCCGAAAACCCTCAGATACCAATCTAAAATAGAATCATATCATAATTAGGCATTTATCTCGCTATATATTGGATTCGTCATCTTGAATTTTCCAAGTTTGACGAAACAATAATTATCTCCAACCCCGGAAAACCCCAGATACCTTCCAGTTTTGAATAGAATTGGATCATAATTACAAAACTCGTTCGCCATCTGATATTCCTCAACAAGTAAATACCCTGTACATACCTATTATTAAAGTTTTGAATGATTTTCTGTAGCGCCCATGGATGTGACGTGACAGCAATGTCAGGGATGCCAGTAGACAAAACTAGTCTCTAGATCATTAAAAAATAATGCAGCTATGATCTGTCCGTACCCTGTTAAGATTAGGGTCCCTTGATAGAAATTGACGTTGAAGTAACCTGACCTCGGCAAGTTTACTTGCAAATTCTGGAGGAGGCAATCTTGCTTGGAAGTCAACGAATATCGCTGAAGGGTATGTGCAGCAATCTCTCACAAAATAGCAAAAAGTACGAACTCTAGTGGTATTCAAATAACCACTGCTCAAAACTGCACTTTCAATATTACTTTATATAATTATTACTCTACCACAAATTGAAAATATGTTGGATGCAGGAGTGAAAATAACATTCCTATAAGTTCTATGAGTACAGTAGTTTAGGTGAAATATATTAAGCCATTCAGTCAACTCAGTCAATTCAGTCAACCCTGGTATACAGTCTAAACAGTCTCTTTTGGTGAAATATATTAAGCTTTTAGTACAATTTATATGTTCCCTACCTCGCAAAGATTATGCTGGAGCAGTAAACTCTAAAACTAGAGGATTGTTCATCAATATCTTGGTATAGTCGAATCAGGAATTCCATATGGAAATTACGTATGATATCATACGTAATACGCCAATGACCTCAATATAACCTAAAAAACAACAAATGTCAAAAATCTAGTGTTTATGCCCTGAATTGAATAAGGATGGAACTATATAACTGTTTCACAAACACTTTAGAGTGAGAGGAGACGAGGATCTGTCCGTGCCTTGTTAAGATGCATCAAGGGACCCTAGTTAAGATGATTTTAACGTCAAATTCCATCAAGGGACCCAAGATTATACTAACCTCGACGGACTCCGGACTGAACCGACTCGGCCCGATATCATTGGTCGCCTGTATCCGGAACCGGTACAGCGTGAACGGCTTCAGCTCGGACACCGTGTAGGAGGTCAGCTGAGGATCGACGTGCTCGGCCAGCGACTGCCACGGCCCGCCGTTCTCCGTCTTCTGCACGGTGTAGTAGCGCAGCGGGGCGAAGCCGTCCCTGCCCGGCGTCCAGCTGAACGTGATCTGCTCGCTCTGCAACTGGAGACAAGTTGACATCGTATTAATAGTTGCGTTTTATTTATTATTCCGCCACCGCAATCACTTTAATGTGTCGTTCTATTTGCAACTTTTCCGATCCCGGTTGATACTTTTCATTCCGTCTCGCTACAAGGAATGATGTGGAATGACTATTGACAGTTGTCAAAAAATTTAATCAGATTGACCAAAAACGAAACTCTTTGAAAGTAGGATACATTAGAGGACATTTTTATCGTGAGGTTCGCAAGTTTATGATTCTTTCAAGTGAGACAGGCTTCATATCTTCATTTCAAGATGAAATGAATTCTTTATCCCACGGACCTCGGCCTCAGAGAACTTTCTCTTATGACTACAACCACTGCTCTGGATATGCGTCGATTCATTTTTTTGATTTTCAACTCTAGTATTATGATTTTGATATTATTCGGAGCCCCAATTTATAAATATAACCTCTTTCATCTATAATATGTCAATTCTCTCTGAAGATTTTTCTTTTATTTGTAAACGTCATTCTGTTCCCAACACCGCTACCAGAATGGAACAAATAAAATGCAACTAATCATTCCAGAATTACGTCATTTGACAGGTCGATGAAGGGCAAACATTAGTTGCGTTTTATTTGTTCCATTCTGGTGACGGTGGTGAGAAGAAAATGACGTTTAAAAATGAAACAACAAACTTCATGACCTTGCATGAGAAAATTGACATATTATAGATGATATAGATGTTATATTTATTCATTGGGCACAGAATAATTTCAAAATAATAGTATTAAAGTTGATAATCAAGAAAGTGAATCAACGCATATTTGGAGCAGGGATTGTGGTGATTGGAGAACGTTCTCTGAGATCGAGAACCTCACGATAAACATGTCTTATACTTTCAAAAAGCTTGGTTTTTCTCATTTGCTGATGACACATTGATACTTGTTAATGGAAATTCTTGGTCACAAGCTGTATCCAATGCCCAATTTGAATAAAACTAAATTCATGACTTTTTCCTGTTATGAAGATTCACAAACAAATATATAACAGAATTGACAATATTCATGATCAGAATTGCTCTGAGAATGTATCCAAAATATCAATATTCTGTTCGTGTACTAATGAAATATATGAATTGAATTCAATCAAATATCTTGGTATATACATTGATCAAAACTCATGTTTAAGAACTAACAATGAAACTAAAAAGTACTCTTCCAAGGTTTATACTTTCAGGAAATATTAGACATCTAATTATTATTATGTTTTATCATACTCTCGTACAATCTATATTGTCGTATGGAATGATTGGATGGGGTGGTATGTATGAGACTCATCTAAAACCAACTCAAAAATTTGTCTTGAGAATAATATTTCGTAAATCATTTGATTATCCATCAGCCTCATTATTTATAGAACATAACATATTGAAAGTGGGACAATCATTCTGAAGCGTCAGTGATGTTCGTTAAAAAGTATCCAGCAATAAGGAATAAAATAAATCATAGTTATGTTCCCAAGAAAACAAACATTGTCTGACTTGAACAACATAACATACAAATTTGAAACATTCTAGTTATATTGGATCAAAAATTTATGATGAAATTCCATCAAAATAGAAAGTCTAAATATTATAACTTAAAAAGGCTTATTTCCTCATAATTTTTCATCAAACTTCTATATTGTCGATTATTTAGTAAAACAAAAAATGTTTCATTTTAAAACCAATTTTTTTCTCCGATTGCTGTTGAAAATAATTAACTATGGCACCTAAGACATTGAAGAAAACATATTTTTGACCTCAGTTATGATTCCAGTTCTGAAATGGTCCAGTTCAGACCTGAAACGAACCAAAATCGGACGTCCTATGTACCTCTGGTTTTGTAACATCGTATGTCCTATGGACGTCCTGAAGACGTCTTTGGGACGTCCCGAAAATCCGAAGCGTATGTCTATACGTCAATAAGACATACTTGTGCAATCTGGGTCTGAGTACGGCTCTGGATCAATTTATCGGTTCACTGCGGCAACCTTATATGTTCGCGAGATTATTTCTCCACATAACTGCGGGAACCGTTTTGATCAGCACCAGCCCACAACAGCCGTACAGAAGAACAGAATTCAAAAAAGCTATCGGCAGTGAAAAGGTAATTAAATAAATGAATTCTATAAAATATACAACTGCCCAGGCAACCATATGACGAATGATCACGTCACTGTCACGTCCCTAATTGGTGATTTTTCGTCAGAGACGTCAGACACCAATTTATGACGTCAACGAATCAACTGTATAAGTAAACAAACACATTTTCTTTGGAAGAGCACTTTTTAATCAATACTCTCAAAATTTCCTATTATATCATCAATAAAAAGCTTAAATCAAATTTTATATTAATCAGGAATTCCGAAATTCATGATCATCACACTAGACAATATAACTTGTTTCATCTTGAAGCTGCAAATTATAAACTTGGACAAAAAAAGTTTACACATGAGGCGATTTCGAAATTCAATAATTTACCAGATGATATCAAAAACAGCCCAAATATTATGCAATTCAAAAATAAAGTTAAGAAATATATTTATATGCAAAGGAATGACCAAAGCTGAAAGACTATGGATTTCCTTTTTTCTTTTTTTTTCACTGTTTTTATTTTTTCCCTTCTTGTTCACTATAATATGACTGTATCTTAATGATATGTGAGTTTTGTTCACTATTTGTAATTTCAATTATACAACAGTCGATAATACTTCATGAATGATCTTATACCAGGAATTACTGTCTGATCATTCATGTCATTCCTACTAGAAAATTAATTATACTTTATATATTATTTGTATGAAATGTATCAATGAAGAAGAGAATGTAATGCAATAACTATGAAGTACTTTCTATGAACTGAGAATCACGTCATCATCTCGACGTCGAGTGAATGTCACTTAGGTAAAATAAGACATTGCAGGGACGTCCTGTCGACGTCCATGTTTCCCAGACCATATCTAAACCATGTATACTTACATTGTGAAACCGTTAGTTTCGTGACGTACCTATATATATAGGATGGGCATTTTCAGTGTCGAAAAGTTCTCAGAAAAAATCGTTTTTTCATTAATTTTACATACATGTAGAGGAACTTGTACGTCTTGGTAATTTTATTTAGGTATATGCTTCTAACGTCGATAGAAGTATAAATCATTGAAACAAATCAACATGCAAGTTGTATTGAATTATATACAGGGTGTCCCGAAATTAGCCTGCCAAACTTCACCAGAGGCTTCTACGATCGAAAATAGGAAAAAAAGTTTTTCGACAATTCAATCTCGTTATATAATAATAATATTAAATCCACACCTCTTTGCAGAAAAAATATACTCTTGTTCCGTAACGATCAGATGTATCATTATCGAGTAAAAGCGATTTAAAAATATTGTTACATCTAAGATATTATGCATAATATTGCAATGAGTCGTAGTGGAAATGGAAAAAAAAAATTAAAAAAATTGAAGTAGCGTTTTTATCATCAATTTCTTATTTTTCTCTCTTTTATGAGATTGTTTGGTGAAAGGAAAATAGTTGAATATTTATAGCCACTATGATTTGAAAATTGGCAACGTTATGCATAAGATGTGAATGTATCAATATTTTCAAATCGATTTCACTCGAAAATGATACATCTGATCGATGCGGAACCAGAGCACATTTTTTTGTGAAACGGAGTGGATTTTCATAATCCGAGATTGAATCGTCAAAGAGTATGCATACGAAAAAGATTGAGCATTATTTAATGTAGTCCCACCCTGTATTAAACACTCCTAAATGAAACTATGAAATGATTTTATGTTCACCGCATTGGGCATGGAAAGTTCAGTTCTTGTACCAAATTGCATCATTTTATCACATGGCGTTTTGGAAATATTCAAGAAATATCATCTGTGGGAGCCCTTTTGACACCCTGTATATCTTGGAAACCAATCGAGCTATATATGTATACATACAAATAATAATATAGGTGTACCTATATTGAAACCGTCACTTTAATGACGTTGTGGTGACGTATCTATGACGACTAAAAATCACGTCGGCGTGACGTACCAATTTGGTGAGCTTGGTCATTCCGAAAATTTTTCAATAATTTGCTATTTAGAATTTCAATGGGTGACAAATAATGCATGAATATACGTTACTCAAAAAAGTGAAGCTAAATTCGCCAACATCCTTTTCATTGCTATCAAACTACTTTTGGTTTGCTTACATCTCGCCGACACAAACTACATAATTTTTTATACAAATACGAGTAACTGATTTGATTCTGATGGAGCTACGTACTGAGAAATGGCGCTGCTGAATAGACGATTGAATGGACATGACACCGGAGGGACCACTAAAAGCAGAATCAACAATGCATAATCCATTTTATATGTCATCAGATGTCAGTGGTGATTATCACACCATGTTCGAGGAAACTTTTTTACGTGCCATCACCAAATTTGAACGTCATTTCGACGTCAGCCTGACGGCACAGTTTGGTGAGTGAATGACGTCAATAAACGTGAGTAATATGACGTCATTGGCCTGTGACTTATTCACGTCATACGACGTCAACTCCTGACGTCACCTTGGTCATTCAACTGACGTAAAAAGACGTCCCTGAAACGTCATCTGGTTGCCGGGGTGCCTTCTCACTAACCTGACTCCGACTGATCTGCGGCATCGACGGCGGCTGCGGTATCTCCCGATTATTCGTCGTGAATACGAGCGCGTGCGCCGTCTTGCCCCACCCCAGCCGCGTCTGCGCCGTCACCGAGAACGAGTAGTCCTTCTCGGGCTCCAGCCCGGTGAAGCGGAACGTCCTGTCCGACGGCGGGAACTCCTTGGCGCTCTTGTTGTTCGTTTTGGCGGAGTTGACGTGGTAGGTGACCTTGTAGGCGAGGATCTCGCCGTTGGGCTCCTCGGGCACGTCCCAGATGATGCGCGCTGAGGTGAAGGAGACGTCGGGGAACGAGACGTTGGAAGGGGCGCCGGGGACTGCAAGAGAATGTCAAGTTCAGCGAAAAACGGGCAACCTCTTAATGCAGTTCTCAACACACTAAATGGACCACTCATAATTTGACTCTATTTCGAAGACCTGTATTTCTTGAAAAAATTGACCGATTTTCATGCGGTTTTCGATATCAGATGAGATGTTTCATTTTCTTCAAAGATAGCTAGAACACTCTGAAAAAGTCCGCGGAACAAAACTTACACAGGGTGTGAAGTGGAACCATTACACTATGGTCTACATTTCCAATACTGCCAGAACTCGAGAAATTTTTTTCTGATCAAAAGTCAGTCATATTATGATACACTGGGACCTCATCTCGGGATATTTTCGTGATTTCTCCTCAATTGGCCATTGGAACAAAAATTCGATTTTTTTTTCGAAAGTCTTGCATTTCTTGAATTTTTTCTCTCGAACTCCACTCGTGCTCCACTATTGTGGAATATACAGGATGATAAGAAAATAGGACGAAATCTCATTTCACTAATCTTGTAAAGGTTCAAGAGCCCAGGATGGAAGTCATACAAAAGTTTCAACCCTCCCGTCCAAACCCAATAATTGCAGCTGTCATAGAATATTACATATAACAAATCGAATACAACAAACACAACATGATAGTACGTGCTCCAATACGTGCAACTTGAAAACCCAAAAATTTGAAGTATTGTAATGAATGTGCCTAAATTTTATCATGGATGTATAAGTGATATTCATTCGTTTTGTGTGACTGAACTGATAAATCACAACTTTTCATTCAGAAATATATGTATAATGAGAAGATTCCCAGCAAACATGAATAGGCGGTAAATAGCCGGGCCATCGATGTCAGCAGCGGCAATGTGTCGGCACCGGCAAACCGATATCGGCAAAACGTTAGAATGACATTGGTTGTGCCGCTACGGCATGATTTACACTTATTTATTATGTTTTCTCATCATCCATCCTGTAATTGACCGTTATAGATAAGTCACAATCGCGCCGCTGTCGATTCGACGCTGGAGACAAACTCCATTATATAAATAATCTCATAGTGAAGTATCACATTAACAATATATCTCCAGAATACTTTAATGCATTTTCTATGGTTGATGTCAGCAAACTATCGGGTCTGACATCAAGAATGATATATGTTATATAACAAATCATTATACTCGCTATTGTCTACCAATTGATTTTTGTGGTAATGATTTCGAGCTGAATATTCGTTCATTAACCTATATTATAACAACGATGCACCAATGCGAAGTTCAGTTATTCACCTATAAGTATTCGACAAATATTTGATTCACAGTAATAAATCTAACACTGGAAAAGTAAGGTGGCTAGAACATTATCAGACTACACCTATTCTACGTCATCAAATCAACTGAGTTATGATAGGTATATCGCATGATACTAAAACTTAGTATCATGGGTATATCGTATCATCAAATATTAAATATAATTGAAGCTTTGTACAATTTTATTTTTGTTGACTGATGGATTCGTAATAGAATCTCTCAAGTTCCGCAATAGCCTAGTGGTATAAGCATCTGACAGTGGATAGGAGAATTGTTCGATCGCCGGTTCGAGTCCGACACCCGATAATATCTCTTTTTTATTTCTAACCGAATAGTGTCGGCAGATAGTCGGGCGGCCTACTAGCGGCCGGTGCGACACGGGCTAGCCGGGCCGACGATGTATCATGATTGTGGCCCGCTGATGTTGCCTGTCGGCAGTTTTTGGAGGGCGTCCAAAGGCCCACGCGATACATGTTTGCTGGGTTAAGTTGAAATATCCCATTTTGTCTATCTGATTCATACTTAGAAGATCATAAGTAACAAAACTGGATAACTGAACAATATGATCAAAGAAAAACTTCTAGTTCACTTCGATTTACCACTAAGCAGTAGAAGCTGGAAAAGACCATAATTCGAGAGAATGCCTATTTACGGATCCATTCCAGTTCTAGTGAAATATTTAAGTTACTCACCATCTTCATGAGTTCTGACACTGACAGCAGGTTTGCTAGGTTCTCCGTCTCCTAACCTAGTATAAGCCAAAACTTGAATGTGATAAGTCACGAATTTTCTTAGTTCCGTCAAAGTGGTAGTGAATGTAGAATTGCTGGAAATTTGCTTGTACCGAGTTGGAGACTTCGATTCGGCTGCATAAAATACTTTGAAACCTTCTATCAACCCGTTTTGATGTTCCTTAGGTACGTCTCCCCATTTTACGACGATAGTAGTTGAAGAAGTCGAGTTTGCTTCTACATTCATTGGTCCAAACGATGGCACTAGAAATTAAATAAATTTTTGATTTAATACTGCTATAATAATCAGAATTCAATACAATATAGAACAACATAGAATTACAAAATAGCCAGAAGTGGAATAATATGATATCAATAAGTAGAAAAACAAGGTTTGGTGACTGTACTGCACAAATGAGAGCCAATAGCCCGAAACCGGTTTGCAGGTGGTTAGTCGTTTATCCGGCTTAAATTCAAGCACAATTCGGAATTTAGCAAATAAGTTAGGAAAGTTGTAGTTATTCTCTAGTTATCTGCCATCATTGTTAAACAAATTTTGTGCAAATGACTTAATTTTCCCCTTATTTTCCATTTATATATCGTTCTGATTAATCATTGCCACCTGTTGATTTTTTGTTTGATAAATGGAATGAAACCTATCAATAAAATGAAGAGATTTTTGTATTTCGTGTAACATTTACTATGAAATCGCAAAGCACTTTCGGCTAGAGCCATCATCAGTGCTATACTTATAAGTAAGTAACATTTATGAAATTTCAAAAAGAAAAATCAGAAAGTGTAGATTACATACTCGACAAAGTCTTTACAAAAAGGTGAAAAAATTAGTAATCGACGACATCATTACGATACAAACTGAACTTGGAACAGGCATACATTTAACATACAAACAATACATAATACATACAGAGTTCCCTAATGGGTTATTGTAAATTTCTTTCAAAAATACATGTTGAAATTGTTTAGTTCAGGTCCAAGAAGAGCACGAGGGACCTAAATCTTAATTATTAGTCTGACGAATATTCGACATTTTTAACCATAATAATATCATTGACAGAGACTGAGGGTCAATGTCAATGACTGAGTTGACATGAGGATGAAGTAGAGAAGTGACATAGTGACGACAGCGCGTGGGAAAGAATCAACAAGGTGAGCAAATAAACTGTTTGAAATTTTGAATAATAAAATGAGTGAAATTGACTACATTCCAGGCCAAAGAGTAACAACCTTTGTAGTAAAATTTGGAAAAAAGATTTCCAATCAAGAATAAAGAGTCCTGGTGTTCAAGCTGAAAGTCCAAGGAAAATTCCTGTAGCCAAAAGCCTCATAAGAAGAAAACATACCACCAGAATACTCAGAGCAAAGACCGATCTCAAGTCCAAAATGTAAGCCGGATACTGATTGCAATTTTTTTGTGTTAGGTGAAAATTGAAGAGCAGGACTTCCATTTAGGACTCAAAAGTCCTAGTGTTCGTGCCGAAGGTCCAAAGATGTTCAACTCAAGTTGTAAATCCTTCACACATTTGATGACCCATAAATAATAAGCGGGTGAACAAAGTTGCATTTAACAAAGTTTTTGCTCACTCACCGGATTCTCTAGTTCTTTCTAGTGCTGTAGGTCCTGGAGAAGAACATCCCACATCGTTACAGGCTCGCATCTTGATCTCGTACAGAGCAAATTCTTCTAAACCGATGATGACGTGAGAGTTCGCAGTGTGGTCTTCGATGGTAGAGCTGTGTGCATATCCTGTACGGATCTCTATGTAGGTTATGTTGTAACCTCTTGGATTTCCGAACCACTCGATTTGTTGCAACGGCTGGAAGAATCAATGAAACTACACTGTAGTGAAATATTCCCGATATAAACATATCTCACTTGATACTATGAGTCAATGTGAGTCACAATGAGGTAATAGACGACAAAGAACAAAACAAAATGGAAGTATTTTTTTGTCAAAAATGTTTTCCTGAAAATGTTGTAGATCATTGAATCGAAGATAAACACATCTTTGGTTTCGGCAACATCAGGGAATCTGAAGGTGTCAATGCAATCATTTTCAAAAATATTTTACCTGAAATGAGGTGCTTTAATGAAGCCCAAGGTATCTTCATCTTATTAGGAAAAGTCTACAATCCGACGACGATCTTCATGCTCCGAGAATCTTGACCGAGCGAAGCGATTAATCTGAATTTGTGAGGTTAAGTGTTGAGTTGTTCAACTTTTAAGTGCGTTGTATTATTTTGTAATTCACTTTTTGTGAATTTCTTGAGAAAATCAATGTTAAACAACAAATCAAACCACATAAATCCGTTGAGTAATATGTGTCTTGCTCGCTGTAAATTTCAAGCCGTTTGAAAATTACCGTGGCATTATTGACGATTTCAGCACTTCAAAACCGACCGACCGACAAATTCTAAAAATATATGAAATTGAAATGTATCTGGGTTATGATCCTATTCAAGAAATGAAAGAAAATTAGTCCACTCGCCTATTACTTTCCTAACAACTTATTGAAAAGATACTTACGATCCACCTGACCCTCAGCTCGGTCGCTCCCATCGCTCTGACCGTCATGTTCCGCGGCGGATGCGCAGGAGGCGCCTGAATGGTCTGGAACTCCTTAGTGGCCTCGGACGGTCTCGATGCCCCCACCACGTTGTTGGCGATCAGCCGCAGCCGGTACACCTAGAAGAAGAACATTCATTTGAAATAGGTAACCCTGATATACAATAATATACATATAATACAATTATATTGATAGTAATACTGAAGATATTGAAAAAATATATACAGTGTCATTCATAAAGTCGGCATCATATGGGAAAAACTTTTATTAATGACTTATTTTGGAATTCGAGTTTGACGTTGAGTTTTACTTCAAAAAAGATGAAAAATGACCTACTCAATCGGGGTCACGTGACTTTCGCTACATGTCAAAAGTGACATTTTTTCAAATTAATCGCTGAAAGTAGGCTTATTTGTTCGAATATCGAGAAAGTTTACTTGAAAAAGTTGTTTCTATTTCAATTTTACACAATGCTTCTCGAATTTGATCTTTCTATTGCAACTTTTAGATTTCGATTTTTTTTTTAATTTTTCGAAATTTCTGTAATATTTGAAGAATTGTTAATTCCACGTAACTACTTCATACCAGTAGCTTTTTCATGCTACTTCCTTTCAATTACTTATTATCACTGATTATGGACAGAAATATGATTTTCTTCAGAAAATGATAATACCCGCTTCCAAATTCTGTTATGTTTGATGCAAAGTTGATATATCGTCAAGCATTTAGAAACGAAATTCATTCAAACTGATCTTTTCAGCACTGAAATAATAAATTTAAATGAATTTAGTTTCTAAATGCTTGACTCAAACATAACAAAATTTTGATGTTATGTTTGCATCAAACATAACAGAATTTTGAAGCGGAGATTATCATTTTCTGAAGAAAATCATATTTTTGTCGATAATTAGTGATAATTAGTAATTGAAAGTTAGTAGCATGATGAAGCTACTGGTATAAAGTAGTTTTATCGAATTTACAATTTTTTTAATATTACAGAAATTTTGAAATTTTTTAAAAAATATCGAAATCTAAAAAATGTAATAGAAAGATAAAATCCGAGTCACATTTGTAAAAGTCAAATAGAAACAACTTTTTCAAGTAAACTTTTTCGATATTCGAACAAATAAGCCTACTTTCAGCGATTAATTTGAAAAAATGTCACTTTTGACATGTAGCGAAAGTCACGTGACCCCGATTGAGTAGGCCATTTTTCATCTTTTTTGAAGCAAAACTTAACGTCCAACTCGAATTTCAAAATAAGTCATTAATAAAAGTTTTTCCCATATGATGCCGACTTTATGAATGACACTATATATAGAAATATAGATAGTTACAGATTCAACTTCAACATTGCAGTTTGAAAACCAACACACACACATAACCTATAAAAAATAACATCACAGTACAAAAGAATATGGAAAATAGGTACAGCTCCAATATTATTGTAAAATAGATAAAAAACAACATACAAATGCTGCATTATCAAAATTCTCTTTAGAACAAAATTATATTCTATCTAACGTTTTGAATGGTTTCCAATAAATGTTTTTTGAAAATAATTAATGATGGACTAGATGTAAAGATGTTTGGTAATTTGTTGTATGTAGTAAAGCCTTTAAAAACAAAGAATTCATGGCACTTTTTCTATTTGTTCTGCATACATGCAAATTTGTATTGATTCTGGTGGCATATTTTTGTGAATGTCTAGATTCAAATTAATAAATTCACAAAAGAATGAAGGTGATAAGTTATTTAGTATTTTATATATAAATATCATTGTTAAATAATACAACCGTAGAGAAACAGATAGCCACTGCAAAGTATTTAACATGACTCCTATTTCAGTGAATTTATTCACTTTCAGAACTATGTTCACTACTCCTATTTATTTCGTCGAAATTGGAAGAGGGCGTAACTTTTTACTTACGAAAAGGAAAATATGGAAATACCGGGTGTTCAGAGCGAATGTATTAAAATAATGTTTACAAAAAAAATTGATAGAAATTCAACACGTCTAAATGAATTTCTCGATATGACCTCCAATTTTTTGAATACACATGCGAGCCCTTTTAATTAAATTAAATCTTAGCCTTTGAACAATATGTGGCTTATACACAAAATCTTTCATACATCCCCAGATAATCCTGATCTGCTATTTTGACCCTGTATATCGAATATGAAGGGCTAAAATGAAAAATGGTATTTAGAAACTCATATTGTTTTTGTTCAAGGAATATATGGTTAATGGATTGACCTCATTCTAGCGGACACCCTATATTTATATGAACTTTTCTTCCTATTTTGACGTCAGAAACATGCTCTCGAATTTTCTACACGTACTTAAGAAACACCCTGTATAACAATGAAAAAAAAAACAACTAACTAACGAGTTATGTCAATATAACATAATAATTGAAATAAAATCATTCCAAGTATTCGAATGAGAATAAATTGCTCCGTTTATAGTGTCATGAGTATATATTTTTTCATATTGACTTTGAATCTTGTTTCATCATCAATATGTTTCAAATCATAAGGTAACATATAAAATGATTCCACTGTAAAATATTGATTGTTTGCCAATAATGGAGTTATATGGGTTTGCTATTAATGAATGGGCGTGTACACCTTAGTAGAACTTTCAACTCAAACCATGTTTATAATGATCCTTTTATACATAAATAATGATTGACGACATAATTCGATCGAAAAATTAACTGGAATGTTTTATTTTTGGACATGAATGATAGTACCTTCTGAAAACGGAGACCCTCTTATGACGTAGAAACCCCATCTCGCCATATATATATATATAAACCATATATATCTACTACTGATATATGAATCATAGCTCTCCTCAAAGCGGGACCCATTTCTGTCTCTATAGGTGATGAAATCGACCAATAGGCGTTGATACCGACGTAGGGAAAAAATAATAGGAAATTTGTCAAACCAATATGGCTGTTTCCATCCTTCACTTTTCGTTCTCATAGATTCAATCAAAGAGTACCTCTCATTTTGGTCCCATTTTTGTTGAGATATCGTATAGGCGATGCGCCATATATAGAAATAGTAGATATATGGTTGAAACTGACACTCTCCTGACACTTATTACTGTTGCCATATCATCCAAACAAAATATCCGAGAAATCGAAATCGATATTGAAATATCTTTTGATATCCACTACCACTACTGCAGAAAAATATATTCGAGTTGTCGATTGTAGGTTGAATCATTGGAGTATAAACAATCTCTAGACAACGAAATGTCTCAATCTCAAAACCATTTGCACCATTACAATTTCACAATAATCCAATATATTTCATAAACATAGCAACATTGCTTTGTTGACCCGTTTCACATGGAGCTGCAAAAAGTCAATCTAGGTTAGAATTGATTTGTCAGAAATCATGTATCATTCATCTCTGTCTGGAATAGTCTTGTTTCAGTATTAGGGTTTTGACGTCACATCATCGCCTCGTTTTCAGAGGTCGGAAAAATCGGGGATTTCAATAATTTTTTATAAAACGTAGGGAGCTCACAGCAAGAAACGGTTTGCGGTGGTGAGCTAGTTTGGGTGAGTTCTATCGAATTATGAAATAAAATTTTTTTGTGATATAAGCCCATTCAACTGTCTTGTTTCATGAGTATGAATTGTATTTACTTCAGTAAAGTTCAAGTTGGATATTTCAATTTTTTTTCTCACTTCGAGATCACATTTTTCACTGAAACAGGCCCATTCTGATACCAATTTTTTTTTGTAATGGAGGTGTCCCTATGTAACATTCTGCATACTTTCGGATGAAATAAACAGCCAACTAACCGTGAATGGCACCAGCCCGGTAACAGCGATCGTAGTAGCATCCGGATCGTTGATCTCGTACACTGCGAACCAGGTGGCGTTGCGCGCCGTCTGCGCCTCCACCGTCCACCGGGTGATGGACGAATTCCCGTCGAAGCCGGGCGTGAACTGCAGCACGACGCTGAACGCCTCGATGTTGGACAATGCGAGCTTGGAGGGCGGGTGCGGCAAGACGGGCTCCACGCCCGACTGAATGATGGCGATCTTGGGCGGGCCGGGGCCCACGGCCGTGAAAGCGGTCACTTCGAACCTATAAAAGAATAGTAAGATTCAGATTCAGAGCAGGTTCATCAATATTGTATACTGAGTATGGTTAAACCTCCGGTATGTGGCTCCGACGGAATCCCACTGATTGTTCTCAAGAAATGTGCTCCCGTACTAACACCTGTTCTCTGCAAGTTGTTCAACTACTCTTACAAATTGGGGATATTTCCGTCCAACTGGAAAATTGCAAGAGTACAACCAGTTCCTAAAAAGGGCAAAAAGATCCTACCTAGCAACTACAGACCGATCGCACTGCTATCTATTATTTCAAATATCATGGAGAAAGCTATCAACATCGAGCTCATGAAATACCTGGAACAGTCAGGTATTATCAACGATAGGCAATATGGCTTCCGTCATCAGAGATCAACTGGTGACCTGCTCGCTTACGTCTCACATACATGGCAGCAATCTATTGAAAACTATGGTGAAACCTTAGCTGTTGCACTTGATATCTCCAAGGCATTCGATCGAGTCTGGCACCACGACTCCTCGCCAAGCTTCCATCTTATGGCTTGCCTCCCCAGTTATGCTCTATACTAACTAGTTTTCTCTCAAACAGGTCTCTCCATGTAGTGGTCGACGGAGTTTCATCTGACTCTCTTATCATAAATGCTGGTGTTCCGCAAGGATCAATTCTAGAACCAACACTATTTCTACTCCATATCAACGATTTATTGGAAGCAACTTCATGTTCAGTACACAGCTTCGCGGATGATAGTATCCTTCATGCCGCCTTCTCTTCCAGGGCTCCATTACCAGCCAGGCAAATTAGAAACGAACTTGGTAGATTTCAATACGAACAAAACACAAGTATGCCTTTTCTCTAGAAAAGCCTATCTCACTGTGCCCAACATAAGCTTGTCAAGAGTAACCATACCTTTGAAGATATCCATTTCGATGCTTGGTATTACTATCAGCAATTGGATAGGAAGCCAAATGGCACATCACTTCGAAGGGCTTTTATTTATCTTTCCACCGGTACCCTAGTTTATCATTCTCTGTCGAGCAGTTTCCGAAAAATGTTGTGTCAATTATAGAAAACTTCCCACCCTCAATGTCTAAAGGCATTTCTTCCCCCAACTTTTTTTCCATACAATTTTCTATAAAGTTTTTGGACACCCTGTATATTTGCAATGTCTTAGGGCAAAATTAAAGACACAGAATAGTAGTAGTTGAAACATAATTAATGTAATTTTGGTAAATTGACACACAACTCAATGTAGGTTTTCTGAATGTAAAATATGTCAGTTTTGGAACAGAAGGGCGCCAAAAATTTCCAGGCTGCACCGAGTACCACCTCCTATAACTTTTTAATTTCCCAACTTAGGAAAAAATCTAAAAACGGCCATAAAACGGTATTTTTTCACTTCTTGAATGAAACGATACCTTATCACTATCCGTGTATGAGCTTTAAGTTAGAACACCCTATATATTTCCTCGTCATTGCAAAGACCTTCCGAAGAGCTTTCTAAAAATATCCCATTCCTATGGTCACCAAAATCAAATAGTTTCATCGATTTTTTGAACGATTTTGGAGAGAAAATCATGACATTGATTGCAAATCCAGGTATATATTCGCGAGAATATCGAAAAAATCATTGCAAAACGTTCCCAAAGAATTCCATGTCTACTGTCTAATGAGAAGGACGTATTCATCAACAATTCCAGCAATGAAAGAATTGAATACCAAAGTACTGAATCTTCAATGTTGTTAGTTAGGAATGTAGAATAAAAATTTTAAATCCAAATTGATATGAGAATTTACATCTAATGGATCATTAATGGACACACACTATTTCCTAAAGTAGTAGAGGGAAAAAATGATGTCTTTTCTGATGTCTGTAGAGATGCGAAAAAATGCAATACTTTCAAGTTTCATTTTCTGATATTGTGTCAAATTGAGAAAAAAAAAGTGGAATGCGAGAGACACTCACCTATAGTGTGTTGTCGCCTGTAGTTCAGTTATTTTGGTACTGAGAGTGGTCGCAGTGAAGTTTTTCACTTTCAACGTGGACTGTTTATCTTTGATCATGTAGGTCAACTGATATCGAGTTAGTATGCCGTTGATCTGTTTTGGTGGTTGCCAAAGAACTTTGACAGCTCTGTCGCTGATTTCGTCGAATTGTAGGTTAGAAACTTCATCAGGAACTGAAAAAAATACATTTATTCAAAACTGTGACGAAAGCATTCAATGTTATTGTTTCTTCTGATACACTGTGATATCATAAAATGGCAAGATATGATAGTCTATGACTGAGAGCATTATTGAATAATTACTTTTTAGTTGTTCTTGTTGTTTTTCATCAGACATTATCATATTAATTTATTAAAGACATTTTTATATCTGACCCCAAAATTATCCTCGTTTTACTCTGCTAATCTACTGCTGATACAAACGATCATTATGTCAGTTATCTCCAGCACAAATGAAAAGATTCAAAGCACCAAAACTAAATGTAACTGTTTTCTCAAGTACCGATGAAGCAATATCAATGCATCCCATTGATGCCCAATGAAAGATTGAAATAAACTGAAATGACACAGACTTATGAGGGTTGCTCGTAAGGGGGCAACCGAATGACGGATAGATCGGATAGAACAATTAATTAGTGCTACCCTTAAAACATCATTTCCAGACAGACACGCATTGCCATCTTGAGGCCGCGCAGAAGAACCCACATATAAAAGCTCACGTCACATTCTTTCATATAAAATAAGACCCACTTTCAAATTGATTTTCGTGAAAATTTTAAAACCGTGAGATTTTGAAATGCAACCTTCTTCTGGATCTCATCGAGTTTTTAAATCTAGACAACATCCTATAGGAATAATCATTAATTCAACCGACCTTGCAGAATTTTTTTCATATGAATTTCCTATCTATTATTTATTCCTCAGAGTAAATAACAATGGATAGACCGCGATTCATTCATAAATCATGGATAAATAAATGATCGCAAATGGTGGGGATAACTCTGCGGAATCAATGCCAGATAATTGATATTCTTGTGGTATATTTTACATATCTGATAAATCGGGATTTCTATAGATATGAGGCTATTTGATATTTTCAATAATTCGAACATACTTTTCATCAATAAAAGCAAGCTCTCAAACAAGACCGCCACTGGCGTCATTGTCCAAATTTCAATTCACCTGTGCTGTATCAGGTTTGGATAATTGTAACAAACTTTTCTTTACAGATTTGACAATGCCGAACCATATTCGTTTCCAAAATAGTCTGCTTTAGATTCATAATATTAAATTAGTTACCGAAACACAGGAAAATAATCACACAACAGCCGGGAAACTACTAATAACAACGAAAATGACAAATTAAATTTCTTGTCATGATTATTAATAGTCTACTACAAAACTTTGCGGTGCCGCCACGTTCATTTTTGGATAATTTATATTTTTTAGTTTCAGTTCAAAAATGGTCAATTGTATTTCCAAATTGTCATTTGGATATGGAAAAGAATCATTTGAATTTCAAATTAGTCAATTCAATTTTGAAAATGCGTCAAGATGTAGTCACTCTGAGATCTGTTCAATCATTGCTGAAACTAAATATAAAATGATTCAAACCATATACATATTAATGAATAATATCGATGAACTCTGGCTATATTCCGAATTCAACTGGTCAGTACTGTAAGTTGATCCACTGACTCTGCTGAAAATCTGTGTTCCGAAATATAAAATCAAAAATTCACTACTGTAATTCGGGACACGTTTTCATGGTTTTCATCAGTAGTAGTTTCTCGTTTATCTGAACTAGATGTTTAGCCTCGTACTTGTTATAAATTTTGGAAATTTAATATTTAACATGGAAGAGAAATCGATTCTTGTATCCTCTATATAGTTTCTACGATTGTTGACGATGGCGATTCAAGCTCGAGTGATGAAGAATACTTGGACATTTTGTTGCCATAAATTTCTCATGATGTACCTGAGAATTGAGATTCATGAAAATCGCAATATGCCTTAATAATGATGAATTTTAGGAGACATTAGAGGTTTATTTAGTTTATTTAGCCAATGCTGCTCCTTTTCTTACCTGCTCTACTTCTTCATACTCCAGGTATTTTCTGATATTGAGAATCATCTCATTAATAACGGAAATGAATGTTACATTCCTTCCTCCTCTGAAATATGACAGTTCACTGAAGCCATCAGCAATTCCAGCAGAATGTTGAGTCGAAATATTTGGAATGAATAGTATGTCTGCTGACAAGCATCTGTCACTTCCAGTGAATTTTTTGATTTCGGAATGGAAAATCAGCAGATTCAGTACTGCCAGTTGAATTCGGAATATAGCCTCTATCTGTTTCCATAGCGCGAAAGGAAGCCGTTTTTTTTAGACAAATGACTATCTATAAGCATACGGTGATATACAGCGCATGCTCAAATGCGCAAGGTCAAATGACAGACACATCATCGTGACATTAATCTATTAATCTTTGACATGATATATATGGATATTTATGCACAAAGATCTGAAATACATAATCCTATTCCAGTTTTCTCTTTCAGTAAAATATTTATTGCTTCAACAGGATGAATTCATTGAAAATGCTGAAATGAGAGTATTCCTTTGTTTCAACACTAGTTATCAGTATCAGCTTGGTGCAGGTTACACTTAGCAGGTACATGTACCTATAGCAGTTCAGAAGTAGGATATTATGCAATAACAATCAATTTTAATTATTAAGGTGCATAAAATAGGACATCGAGAATTATCTACATGTAAACATTCGATTTATTCCAACTACTACTGCAATATAACCACATTTCGAAATAGGCAAGGATGACTATTTCATGATGAATATGTAGTAATTCTCAAGTAGTTCAGACAGGGATGTAATTTAGATGTAAAATATGCTCTGAAAATTCATAATATCCATCAAGCCTCTGCTACTAAACATGTCCGCGAAACGCAAACAAAAAGAGAATGTCATGACCTTATGAACCGATAAGAAACACACTCCTTAGATTCTTCTTCTTCTTCCGATTGTATTGGCTTTTGCTTCTATGATGGCGCATTTGGCCAGTACTATCCGTGGATTAATGATGGAAGTAAGATATGGTGTAATTACTGATGCGCTTTTGTTTCAGAAATTTTACTCGACCTCTCGAGAGCAGCGAGAGCAATGGTTCCGTTGATCTTCTAATAGATGGCGACATTGCACAATTATGACTTCTGTGAGTTTTGAAATTGTCGCATATTTTTCGAATACAGAGTTGTTTAATCCCACTGTTACATATGTTCCGCGTACCTAAAATGGCGTTTGACCATTTTATTTCCACTCGTCACAGCAGCAATAGCAGCATCACCATCTAGCGGGAAAATGTAGAATCAACGTCTCGCTTGTTGTGACGTAGAGAAATCATAGTAGGCCGGTCGAGTAATTTTTCTGAAATTTTCAATACGTAATAATGGCCGAATACGCACACCATATCTTACTTCCATCATTCGTGGATTGCAATGTTGTCTGATCTTTGATCATATTGCAACCCGTTATTATGTCTATGGTTGTTATGTTATATAAATGCTTCTTCTTCTTTTATTTTAAATTCTTAAGGTGCTTAAAGAATATTAGTGGGTTGGACAGATAGCACAAACAGAGGTTTCTTGGTTTTTTGGTTTATAGTAGGAAATCTGGTGATAGGGAATTAGGATCACTTAAAAAAAGTGGATTTATCTTTTCCATTTATTCTATATATATTTTTTTTAGAAAATTTATATATGTATGTGGGTATTATATATATGTTTTTCTCTTGCTATATATTTATCTGGTTATAGGCCAGAAACTTCATAATATCCCTTACTATACCCATGTTTCAATTTCTAAGTACTTCCTCCATGTTAAATGGAACCGTTATCCCTTTTTTTATGAATTGATAATATATATCCATTGCTGGGACAGCATTGATTGGACACTCTAAGAAGGTTTTGTTGTTTGTTGTTTCCATTCATTATACAATTTTGACTTTACTTATGACTGGTAAAAAATTATTCTTGTATATCTTGTATATCTATTCCCTCGTGTCCAGGTATCCATGCCAATCTGAATTCGGTCTCGTTTAAGGATGCTAGATAAGCCATTTCTTTTATTGTGAGGGAGATATGATCGCTTTTTGCTGTATATTTCATACTGTGTATATTTTTCAAGGCGCTTTTAGAATCCGAAGGAATAATGCTTTTTTTTTCAAGCAAATTCTCCGCTCGTGGATAGCTATGAGTTCTGCGTCACATATGTTCGTGTAGTCATCGCACTCCTTTGATTCAACAGCTGGTAAAACTCCATTGACTACGATAACGCATGTCCGTGACAATTACTACGTTTGCGTATGCGCATCATGCCACCAAATCCTTATGGATAATCAATTGTTGCATATTTTTAGCTTCAACCTGGCACCTGGTTGTTGTCCATATTGTTAATTAATACCTAAATGATTCGAACTCACCGTCCTCCTTCGTCTTCACATATCGATACTCGCTCACCACCCCATCACCCGGATCGGTGAAACACACCACCGTCAAGTTGTACTCCGCGTACTTCCTCAGGTGCGTCATCACGGCGCTCTGCTTCGCGTAGGGATCGAGCAGGTTCGGGTGCACCGTCATCACGCTGGCCTCGACGTGGCCTCGGCTGGGCAGCCACTGCCACGCCTGGATCTTGTAGCCCTGGTTGATGCCGTTGATCTTCTGCGGATCGGGCGGCACCCACCAGATCTGAACCGAGGTGCTGTTCAATGCTGCGACCTGCGGGCGAATGATTGAGTGATACTGATGCAACTGATAACGAAATGTTATCTCTCCCAAAGGCTTGTAATAGTATATTACATAACTAGAGGGAAGTTTTCGTGACTGTTCTATAGATTATATTATTGGGAATATTCGTGGGAAGCAGTCGAATGTGACCGATATCAATTAGATTTCTTCATTTTTGTCGAGCTTTCGAAAATGTTTATTTTTTTTATCAAGACTTTTAACATGAAATAATATATAAAATCAGCATGTTTTTTTTGTTCTGGTTCCCACGAAAAGATATATCCTGTAATGTTCAGAGAACATCGTGAGGACCAAGGGAAATAAGGTAGGAATTGGTGTTCCTCTTGAATTTCTGGAGGTTATATGCCTCAGGGAACACCTCCCTTGGCAATGAGTTCCAGAGCCTCGCTGTTCGTTGGATGAACAAGTCTTTGGAAAGAGATGTTCTGCAGGTCTCCAAACTGACCGCGAAGGGGTGCGAAGCCTCACCTCGACGGGTTAATCTCGCGGGGACTGCCAAGGGAACAACAATTGTAATAACGAGTTGAAAAAAATCAAATGAAAGGGGATAATGTCCCCTTTGCGAATATCCAAACGTGCCGCAATTCAAACTGATCTAAGTTAATGGTAGAGCGTCAATATTTCCGAGAATATTTCGCACCTCTCGGAAGATAATAACCGATAGACCAGATGGAAGTCGTAGACAGAAAGATGATGCTATAACATCTATATTCCATTTTACAAGGCTTCATACCAAACTAAAAGCTCCTATCAATATGCTGATAAAATTCATATCAGAAATTGTGATAAGTGTACCTCAAGAAATCATTGAAGGTCTCAGTCATTTCTATATTATATTTTTGTTGCATATTATAATGAGTGTACCTACTTATTTTTTTTTAAACTTTTATGTTTTGTTTGTATTATGTTAATTATTTTTTTGAATAACATTTTTTTAGTGTCAACCGTATGATGTTTATACATTTTGTCATGAATAACAAATGAGGGAATAACAATTTTTTAGTGTCAACCGTCATCAATCGACTCTTTTAATGAAATTTGGTTCGTTTTGATAATATTTACTTACAAAAACAGCTAGGTTGTTTACCTAATAACCTGGTGAGCAACTACTATAAGATATTCAAAAATGAAAATGATAAGATTATAAATTGAAAGTAAAAATATAAATTAGAACCCACAGAAGAGACCTCCGAACTTGCCGTACTAATTTGCGTCCTAATGGCGGGTGGCGATTTTACTAAATATACTGTACGCTAGCACAAACCACGCCCACCGTAATATCTCATCTTCGAAGTACTTAGGCAAAACTCAGAGAGTATTTATCCTTAACGAACTAACCTATCCCTGATTGCAATATTTTTGAGGAAGGAAAACCGAATGGAGTGTAGAAACACATTGATTAATAATATATTTCAAAAGTTGAGTTCTTCAACAAAATTGAATAAAATGAGACTGTTTATCCTAAACGCACTAACCTATTTGACTTCAAATATTTTATGAAAATGGAAAACCAGAATGAAGTGAAAAAACATTGGTGAAAAAAAAAGTTGCAAAAGTTCAAGTTCACAGCGATTTGAACCATGGACCTTCAGACTGAAAGTCGACAGCGCTAACCAGTAGACCATTTGGGTATATGAATTTACTGCGTACAAGAGATTGTCAGTCGAATTCGTGTCAAAATCATAAAAAGTGTATTCTTGCGTTGGAGCACAGTATATTTAGTGCGATGTGCTGACTCCGAGTATATCGGTAATGTTTGGAGATATGACGTATTATGGTGGGCGTGGTTTGTGCTAGCGTGCAGTATATTTAGTAAAATCGCTGGCGGGTGGGCGGAGCTTATATGCCTATTGTCGCCACTGTCTTTTATAGAGTCACTGTAGTTTATAACTATGGTATAGGCCAGTAGTCGACAACCTATCGATCACGAACCACCGCCCCACCGGTAGCTTACAAAGGTAATTCCGGTGACAACATATTAATCATTAGTTTTTAATTTCAACAATACAAAGATTTAATTTCAAGGAGCCTACGTGAATATCACACGCTGCTAATGACTAGGTAACTAACTTTTTACTTCAACATTATCCAAGTAGCTCAACCATAGTCGTTCTAAATGAAAACCTAGTTAGTAGGAGAGAGGTTCGATATTGTCTGTTCATTGAGAAAAAAATTAAAAAATTGCCTTTGTTGACAACCTTTTCAGTAAAAAAGGGACCTCCTATTTCAATCTATGATATTCATTTGTTATCGTAACTCTAGAAAATTTTCGAATTCCTGTAAAGATCCACCATTCTGTCAAGTCTGTAGTCAAAAAATTTCTCATGTGGAAACATTTCAAGCATGAACATTGAATAAAATACGACTTTAGAACGTTTTCAGATCCACGCTATCATCTGTATGTATTTTCAAGTGTCAATATACTTGAAGTATAGCCAAAATATATAATGGTGTATCAAGATTCAAAAATGTTCCTTGTTGTGTTACTGTGAGCTGGCAGCAGGCAGCAATGACTTTGACAACTAAGCGTCCCAGCACATCACGTCAAAATGCATAAAATGCAACATTTTCCTGTTTGAATGAGTTTATGTGATAACATTCAATCCATGAGAATATGTCGACCATGGAAGTTGAAATATTTCACTGATGAGGAACATCTTTTGCATTATGAAGTAATCAATCATCAATTATTTTTAGATGTATGACAAATTGATATTCATCATACAGGACGTGGAAACAAATTTTCAATGTATTTCTTTATATATGTATATCCATGTTTTCATGTTCATAATTTATCTGAGGAATTCCTTTTCAATCATCAACTAGTTAGCAACACTTGGAAAACATGATCCTTAAACTAAGTATTCAAACACCTTGGAGGTTTCAACCAATTATTTTAAAAATATTGATAATATCATTTCATGGAAGTAAGATAAATTTTATTTGAATGAAAATTGAATGAAATTGATGCCTTGATCCTAACCTAGAAATATTTTCAGACACTGGGGAAACCTAACTGTTCTAGGATAGGAATGAAAATTTTGACTTAACATGCAGAAATTCCAGAAATGTTCAGCAAATCTGCTACTATGTTTCAAATTCATAAAACCACTTGAAGCACCTAACCTATTTAAAGAAACAACATTGATATTCGATTCTTATATTCATCTCATCTCATGTGTGAAAATGGATCTCGAAAATGCATGAATATAGATCAGGAGCATTTTCATTGCTTTACTGACCTCGGTTATGATAGGCGGAGCTTCAGGAACACCTTCCTTGGTTTTGATTTTGGCACCGTCTGTAAATATACCGACACCTTTGTTGTTGTATGCTGCAATTTGAACAATATAATCCTTCCACGTTATAAGATCAGTAATAAGGTAATTCCGTTGTGCCTAAAAAAATAAAAATATCAATACACGAATTCATACATTTATGTTGGAAGTTTCTTACCTCGTTTGTGATATTTCTGATTGTCCATGGGCTGTCATTGTATCCATAGAGTCGATATCTGATAATGTAGCCTAAAATTTGGCCGTTTCTGTGTTCTTCCAAGGGTGGCTGCCACTGAGTGATGATTTCTGAAGAGCTTCTTGCAGATCCAACAAAACCCACAGGTGGGCCAGAAGGAGCTATAAATAGCATATTCAAGCATTAAAGTTTGAGTTTAATGCAATTATTGGAATTAACCTAGAGCCTGAAGGTATGTTCAACGTATTGTGTAATTAAACTGATTCCAAATCATATTCACAGTTCAACTACAGATTTGAGGGTAGTTTTGAAATATCTATGAAATCTGAAAGAAAGAAATTCTCAACAATAATAGTACTTATAGATTTAGAGCTGTTTCAACTTGTTGAATAAAACATTTCACTGACATTTCTTCTTCTTGAAAGAATTGAGTCATCTGAGGAAGGCAGCACTTAGAGTAGTGAAACTACAAGTAGAACATCGCGATATTGTTTCCAAGAGTTTTGAATATGACGCCTTGCATAGATGTATTTCACACAATCAAGTAGAAGAGTCATTATCAGCCATGAACAAAAGGTAACCAAATAACAACTACTCAGAATAATGAGTTATATTCTCAATGATTCAACTTTGATAGTGAGTTATCCAAAAGTTTAGAAACAGTTCTTGAAGGTCTCTAATGTTCAATCTGTGGTTGAACCTAGAAATGGACAAACTGTGGAAATACTTAGACTGACTCAAAAGTATAGAATCATTATCTCAGTAACAGTTTAGAGGGATGAATCTGCTGGATCCAGAAGTATCAAAATTAGATGATGACAGTGTTGCCATGATGTTAATTTCATCTTCATTTTGAACAACTCTTGAATTTTATTTCCGACGTATAATTAATTTTTTTCATCCGATAAAAATAAATTGGAATGTAAAATGAGCGGGACCTAAAGAAATATACGAGTTATCTCATAATCTCATAATTCAATTATTATTCCCTGTCAGTTGTTATCGAGATATTCGCTGGATTTCTATATTTTTGAGCCATTTTGTATAGGTGTGTTGTATAGTGAGGAACCATTATTTGTATATGAACATGCTTCATTATTAGTTTGTGATGGTATTAGATATGTAGCATAATAAACGTGACAAAAAATAAGGAACAATTCAGACTGTAAAATCAGGACGTCGCATGCAATATTTTCATAAACATCCCACCTTTAAAGATAAATGTATATGAGCTGCCTGTATGATGGGAAAAAATATAAAACAGTTTACTGAATCACTAAAGCATGGAGCATATGAAAAAATATTAGCTGACGTAGAGATGGACATTTGGTTCTATTTATGAAATAATGGGAGTAATGAACATACGCAGTATTGCAACCATCAAATAAGCCAAATATCGAATTTTATAATGATGAAATAATGATGAGTATGTAAATGAAGATTCAGACAGTCAGTATGATCGAATTTTGCTCGCTCCATCAATAAAACCAAATTCCTCATTACTTCAGAAAACATTGAAAATTCCTTTCAGAAAAATGTTTGCGCTCACCTTCTTGGGGCAACATAACCAAGTTACTAGGATCAGAAGGGGGCCCCTCACCCACACTATTCACGGCGCTTACTCGGAACTGGTAAGCGGCGGCAGCTTTTAGGTTAGTCAACAAAATCCATCGTTGATCTATGGATACGTTGCTCAATTCGGTTACCCAATTGAGCAGCGGATCTGGAATAGGGCCTGCAATAGGTGGGACTGATATAACGAAAATAAAACTGTTTGCTAGTAAGGTAGGGCAAGAATCGAAATATATTTGTGATATGAGCATGCCTGTAATCGTAAAAAAATAATTTTTATTATGAACGTGAAAATTATAATACAAATTATCAAAAGAAAACAATCAATTGCCTTTATTCGAAATACTTTTTTTAAATAAAAAAAGTAGTTGTCTACATGCCCATGCAGTTAAACAATGTTTTTGTGTTATGGAAAGTTAGTTGGAAATAAGTGTGAAGATTAGTATGTAGTTGTGATATCAGTTTGAGCTATAATGAATTAGGAGAAGGTTGAATATCAATGTTTTTAGATTATTATATGAAGATGATAGCACTCCAATATGTGTGGTTATTGAAATAAAAGAAAACTAAAGAGGCATGCAAGTGGAAAATGTGAAATGAAAGGATTTCATGTCCGATTCAATCATGATAAAATAGTCCAGTTTGGGTTTCTCAAGCTGCTACACAACCTGCCATCTGCCAGTATCTGAGTTTCAACATTTCAAACATAAACATCAAGTCAACATTTCCAGGACACCTAGAGTATTCACAAAAAAAATTGATAATTTCAGAATTGAGGTGTGTAATCCAAACCCAACACTAAATAATTTTCAAAGGCCTACTTATAAGTAAGAATAAAATATTTTGATATTCAAATTGAATTCAAACTAAAGGACCTCAAATCAAAACATCGGATATTTATTTCAATTCAGTTCACAAACAAGAAGGAAAGAGAATCAGAATTAAATGTAAACATATCATGTGACAACTTACAAGGGAATGTCTGCCAAAGTGATCCAGACATACCCAATGACATGAATTGAATGAATAACAATTATTGTGAACATATTTCAGGCGGTTCAATTTAGGATATAGTGGTATATATCCCTAAACCTTGCCCCAATAATAAGAGGGGGTTCCCAATGGAACATATTCATCAACATTGACCCAAATAATGCAATAAACGTGTAATTTTATTCAAGTTGAAATTAGACCTGCAATTTTTCATTGACTATTTCACTCTTCAAAAAATCTGGCCAATCACAAGCCAGAGACAACGTGTGCTCATCACGAAAACATGAGCTGTCTTTCAATTCTGATTGGTCTAACAGCGTTCATGTTTTCAACGATGTAACCATGCATAGCGAAGCAAAGTCTGTCAGTTTGGCATAAAATAATTATGACTGTACTTGTTAGAACGAATCATTCCTATCGGTAATGAAAACTTGACCAATTGAGTTTCATGCAAGGATGTATCTCATGTACATATATGTTTGAATTCGGTATTATTATCAGATGATGACTAAATGAAATGATCAGTTCATTCAATCAGTCAAATTATAGAGGTGTTTCAGTTTCAATTCCAAAAAGTTTCAAAAATACCATTGATATTTTGTGTCAATAATATTTAATATATTGAAATACGGTTGACACAAGTCTTCTTGTCATTTGACGAATTTCCACAAATTTCTACAACTGACCAAGTTGAGACATCTCAAAGGGTTATGATTCTGATAATTTTCCAAGAAAACATAATGTGTAGTACAGTTTTAGATAGAAGACAAAATAATGTTTTCAACTAGAAGACCTTTGGAGAAAATTAATTGCAAACTAATTTTGTATTGGCTAATTCAAACTACTAATTTATGTGGTTCTAGATTCTGAGCGATATACATATAAAATTTTCTGCCAATTTAATAGTTTTTGAAAAATATATATTTTGATTTCGAACACCCCGTTTCTCGAACAAAAATTTTCGGAAATGAAACTGATACACAAATAAATGATTGTATATACACAACAAAGTCACCCATCACCACCATGAGGTTAAAAGAATCATACATGATATTAGAAGAAACGATTATATAACACAAAAACAATGTTTAATACAACTCCATCGCCTGTTAACCTCACTCACCCAATTCAGGAACCTCTCTCTTTTGTACAATGTACTTCTTGATTAGACTATTTCCATTGAATCCAGGTGTCCAGCTGACATTGACGGCTCTCTGCATACCAGTATCTAGCCTGTCAGATATCAAGAAACAAGGCTTCAGCATCGCGGGAAGCAAGCAATATGACGTCACACTTCATGAAACTGACGTATGAAAGTCATTTATCCTTCGGTCAAAGCGAATTGTAAACTCAATAGTTTTTTAAATATGTGTTTCTCAACAACGCGTGAAGCTTCTTTCACCACAACTATCATTATATTGCTGTCAATATACTTCAGTCCCCTTACACATACAACTATAATATGAGTAGCTACTTAATAATCTCATGAACAATGAGAGCGCCAGAATTGAACAGAGAAACCTGAAGAGACAAAGTCACTACAATGCATAAGAATAATCAATGCTTCTCTTTATAAAACTTTATCGAATAATATAGTACTTCAAAAGCTCTACATCCTGGTGTGTATTATTCCGAGATTCGATTTTTCCATATTTATTAATTTCCTAAAATGATTATTATAAATCAGATCCCAAGAATGAGAAAGCATATTAGACATTTTTACAAAAAAAAAACAAATTCCCCTATTGATTTCGAACCAACTAATCCCTGGTTTCAATATCTTGACTTAAATGAGATTAATCTTACCTTTCATACTTTCTAGACAAATATTATCAAAATTTCATTCTGCTATCAGATTTTTCAATTTTGAAAAAAATACCACAGCACTCCTAAATCTCAAGATATTTGGGATGAATAGGATTTGGTAATATTTGGCAGTCTATTTGAGATCCATTAAACAAACCCAGCGTATCTCTCACAAGTATCTGGAACCTCGTCTTGAACAACGTCGGAAATATTTTTTGTAGGTGATTTGGCAATTCGTAGGCTTATAAAGGGCTTATAAGGGCTAATAGGCTAGCTGGCTAATAAATGGTGCACTCACACTCAATTCATCTATATTACTATCCATAGCAACCATAATATCAAAACATCGCGAACATAATACAAAGGGATTATATATACAAAGGGATTCAATAAATATAAATCTTCAACATTCTCCACCTCAGTAAGATGTAATCTTACTATACTTCTTCAACCAGGTCTAGTCGGATGAGTTTGGCAGCAGATCGTTTATAAGTCTTCTCCTTGATTTTGACGTCGACGACTCGTATTCTCTCATCTTTCCCAGGATATGTTTTTGTAACCATTCCCATAGGCCATGAATTTCTCGGAGAATGTTCATCGATTTCCAAAACTAAATCACCAATTTTCAATGGTGTGTTTTCTTTCAGCCATTTCTTTCTAGGCATAATTGTAGGCAGGTATTCATGTAACCATCTTTTCCAAAACATGTTTGTTAAGGTTTGAGCGATTCTCCATTGGCGTCTTATGCAAAAATCTTCTTTTGTAAAATCACCAGGTGTAATCAGTTTTCTTCCAGTGCCAATTAAAATATGATTTGGTGTTAAACATTCCATATCATTTGGATCTATCGATACGTGGGTTAAAGGCCTAGAGTTCACAATATTCTCGACTTCAACCATCAAAGTTCTCAAAACTTCTTCTCTTGGTGATCTTTCTTTCGAAATGGCATAAAAGGCAGTTTTTATGGATCGTATCAAGCGTTCCCAGCAGCCCCCCATATGTGGAGTGAGAGGTGGGATGAAATGCCACCGGATGTTCCTTTTTTCCATGTCTTCTTGCATTTCTCTGTTCTGAATAGTCTCTTCAATAGATTTCCTCAATTCCTTCTCCGCTGCTTTCAAATTCGATCCATTATCAGAGTATATATGTGCTACTTGTCCTCTTCTAGCCATCATCCGACGAATAGCCATGATAGCCGAACTTGTGTCGAGAGAATTTGCTATTTCTATGTGTACAGCTCGAGAAGTTAAACAGGTAAAAATAACACCATACCGTTTTTCTCTTCTTCTACCAACTGTCACATCTAATGGCCCAAAAAAATCTATTCCAGTATGAGTGAATGGTAACATAAAAGCTGCTAAACGACCTTCAGGTAGATCACCAATTACAGGAATTTCTGGTTTATTTCTTCTCTTCTGGCAAAACAGAGAATCTTTTGCAACTTTCTTGACTACCGATCTAATTTTAACTATCCAAAATCTTTGGCGAATTTGATTAATTACATAATCTGTACCTAGATGTACACATTTCTTGTGATAATGTTCCACAATCAATTTCGTCAATCTATGCCTCGAGTCTAATATTATTGGATTCTTCACATCTTCATCTGCTACTATTGCTCTGCTTATTCTTCCTTTCATTCTTAGTATACCTTCGTCGTCTAGAAATGGCGATAATGGCAATAATTTACTAGACTTTTCCACTTGCTTTCCTTGTTTCAAATTATTTAACTCTTCACTATAGCTTTCCTTCTGAACTTGTCTAAACCAAATGTTTTCTGCACATTTTATATGTTTCTCTCCTAAATATTCCAAACTTTTCTCTGATATTAATTTAGTTCTGATCTTTAGTTTTTCAATAAAATATATCACCCAACCTGTGGCTCTGATTAATCGCATCCAGTTTGAGAATCTATCCAGGTTCGGTAATACTTCATTTTCATCGATGTTATTCATTTCCTTTATAGTTACTACATATTCCTTTCTGATTTCCAATTCTTTCGCTGTTTTCTCATTTTCAATGATCGGGTTTTCTTGATTAATAGGCCAGTTTTCCTCTGAATTGGTTAAAAATTGCGGGCCTTTCAACCACCTGCTCTTGGACATAATTCCTTTATCCATATATCCTTTTGTCCCTTCATCAGCTGTATTTTCTTTTGTCGAAATCCATTTCCACATATTGCTTTTTGTCAATTCCTGGATCTCCTGAATTCTATTTGCAATGAATGGTTTGAATTTTCCAGATTTTTTTCCTAGCCAATATAAAACTGTCTGTGAATCGGACCATAGATATATTTTCGAAAACTGTATGCTGGCATGTTCAATGATGAATTTAAGTAATCTGCTTCCTGTTAAAGCTGCGAGTAGTTCCAGTCGTGGTATCGATAAATGTTTTAGAGGTGCTAATCTGGTTTTTGCTATCATGAATGAAATATCGACATTATCCTTTTCCTCGATCCTTAAATAGGCAACTGCACAATATGCTTTTTCACTTGAATCGCAAAATATATGTAACTGTATAGATGAATTTGGGGTGATTATATCAGAAAACCATCGTTTTATTCTCACATTTTCAATTCCTAATATAGCATTTCTTAATTTTTCCCATCTGGTCTTGAAACTTTCTGGCAACTTCTCGTCCCAATGTAATTTGGTTTTCCATAAATCTTGTAGAATAATCTTGGCCATTACCATGACGTTTGCTACAAATCCCAACGGATCAAAAATTGACATTGTCAATTTTAGTAGCTCTCTTTTTGTAGGTAAAACTTTTCCTTGTAAAATTTCCGTTTTCAGTCGCTGAATTCTCAAATTGAACATAAATTCGTCATTGTTAGGATCCCAGTGAAGTCCAAGTATTCTTTCATACGGCATTTCTGTCTCCAAATTCAAATTTTTATTTTCACTTGATCGAAGCTCTTCAGGAATCTGCATCATCACTTTCTTTGAATTGCAATTCCAGTTACAGATTGTGAAACCTCCTTTTTTATGAATAGAAATAACTTGTCTGATCAGTTTAATTGCATTTTCTTCACTGTCGGTACTATCTAAATAATCGTCCATATAATGATGTTTCAATATCGCGTTTGAGGCTTCCGGGTATTGTGAGGCAAATTCTTTCCAATTTTCATTCTTGATGAACTGTGCTGAACAAGGAGAACATACTGTTCCAAACAGCATAACAGACATTTGATATTCTTCTACTTCCATGTTAGTTCTATTTCTCCATAAGAATCTCTGGGCTGCAGTGTCTTCATTTCTTATTTTTATCTGTAGAAACATTTCCTTAATATCTCCACTGAAAGCTATTTTATTTTGTCTGAATTTCCATATGATTCCGATTAATGAATTGTACATATCAGGGCCTTTGGACAACATATCATTGAGGCAAACATTATGGGATTTGGAGGCAGCATCAAAAACAATCCTCATTTTGTTGGGTTTGTTTGGGTTGACAACTGCAAAATGTGGTAAATACCAGGTGTTTTTATTAACAGTGTCGATTTCCAGGCTGGAAAGTTTCCTCGCATATTGTTTGCTGATATAATCTTCCATTTTAGATATATAGGCTTCTTTGAATTTTTCGTCTTTGCTCATTTGTTTTTCCACATATTTCAGTCTTCTAAGGGCAATTTCTCTACTTTCTGGTAATTTGGCTTCCCTTTTCCATAATAACCCAGTTTCCCATTTGTTTCCGGCTATTCTTCTTGAGGTATTCAGCAAGGTTTCTTCTGCATATAATTCTTCAGATGATTCATGGGGTTGCTCAGGCTTTGTATATACATCTTCTCTTTCAAAATACGTTCTGACTAGAGTATGCAGACTGTCATTTTCATCATTTTCGATTTTTTCTTGAATGAAAAATGAATAATCATCAAAAGTTTTATTTTCGTCTGTAGAAATTCGTCCATGAATGACCCAGCCTAACCAGGTTTTTGTCAGAACTGGCTCATTCCATCCTCTCTGGATGAAACTTCTTGGAAGTGATAATGGCCAATTGTCTTGTCCAATCAGTATCAGAGGTTTTGCATTTTTCATCGATTTCAGAGGAGCGTTTTTCACATAGGGCCATGTTCTTGAAATTTCTTCTATGTCTATACTTTGTGATGGTAACAGCAAATCTTCAACTGACCGAGCGTTGCGTATGGTGAATATCTTACTTCCAGGTGCTACACCGGAGATTTGTAACTGCATTACTTCTGATTCATTGAAGTGATTCGACATACTATTCGTCCAGCTGATAGATAATGGCTTTCTGATACCTTGCAAATCCAGATTTTCCGCTACCATTTTATCTACCAGTGTAACAGTCGAGGCTTCATCAAAAAGTGCATAAGTATGCATTGATTTATGAGCAGAAGATAAAATAACTGGGATGACTCTCAATAAAACTCTGTTTTCTCCAAGGGTTTGTGTTGTTGCATTGAAATTTATTTGTTGATGAGAGGAATTTGGTTGATTCCTCGCAGATATGTTAGGGCTCTCTTCATTCCGCTGTCTTGTCCTCCACGTTTGTTCTTCTGCTGCTTCATTTTTTCTTCTCTCCCCTTCTTCCGTCGGACTATTTTCATGAAGTAGATAATGGTGATATTTTCTGCATCCATTTTGGCTGCATTCCTTCTTTTTCTTGCAAAATTGTATTATGTGGTTTGGTCGTAAGCACGAGAAACACACTTTTTTTGATTTAATCCATTCCCATTTTTCTCCAGTAGACATAACCTCGAATTTCTTGCACTTATTTATTGTGTGGTTTGTTAGGTCACAAAATATGCATTTTTGAAATCTTTCAGTTGTTGTAAAGGCCATCTCTCCAGGTCTAGTAGAATATCTTCTTTTTTCAAAATTTAGTTTCGGCCGTGAAACAAGACTTGCCCCATCTGCAACTTTCTCCAACCATAAAGAAAAAGTCTTCAAATCGGTCATATTCCCATTAGAACTGATATGACTTCCCCATTGTAGTTTCAAACTGGCAGGTAATTTCATAAGAAGTTCTTTCAGGATATGAGTATTCATAAGATGAGCTCTCGAGTCTAAACTTTCGATGGTGGCAACTAAATTCAAGACATTGTTGGTGAAATCTATTAACAAGTCAAAGTTGTATTCCCTAATATGAGGAACTTGTCTAATGTTTTCTATAATATCTTCTATTATATAATCAGATCTACCAAATCGTTTCTGCAGAATAGATATGACTTTCTCTATTTGTTCAGGAAAATTCAACAAGTATTGAACACTATCTCTTGCTTTCCCTCGCAGTGCTCTCTGTAAACGCGCCATATTTTCTCTATCTGAGTATTTGCAAAGGACGGTAGTTTCGCGAAACTGGCTGATAAAATTTGGCCATTCCATTGCTTCACCATTAAAAAAAGGAAGATCTTTGGATACTGATTGTCTCATTACATACTCGTTCAGTAAACCTGCTGCTTCATAGTTATCATCATTGGGAATATTGAACTTTTCTTCCACTATGGGACTCACTTCTGGCTTTAACTCAATGTTACTCGGTATAAATTCTGGCAAGTTATTTACCCAAGCTTGAATATTATTTTCAACGTCTGTAACTGTACTATCTGCTTCTTGTGAATGGTTAATAGAAGTTTCCTCCTCAATTTCCAGCTGTCTCAGTTTCAGTTTGTGTATTTCTAATTCCAGTTTCTTGGTCTCTATTTCTAATTCTGCTTTCTTGGCTTCTCTTTCGAGATGTGATTTCTTAGATGAAATAGCTTTTGATTTGGCTGTTCTGGATTTTTGCTCGAATCCTCGAAATTCGCTGACATGAGTACTCTGTTTTTCATTTTTGGATGACATTTGAAAAAATAATTTCTTGACTCGTGTCAAATATATTTCAAAATTTTTCAATTTCTTCTTCGGACTGTTTTCCACTTACGGAATTATTCTTGAAGGCTCAAAGCGTCGAAGGACCAGAAATGTAGGTGATTTGGCAATTCGTAGGCTTATAAAGGGCTTATAAGGGCTAATAGGCTAGCTGGCTAATAAATGGTGCACTCACACTCAATTCATCTATATTACTATCCATAGCAACCATAATATCAAAACATCGCGAACATAATACAAAGGGATTATATATTTTTTCCTCTAGTGATATTCACATTATTAAAAAAATGTAAAAGTTCTTGGTAGTAGTGATGAAGAAGCAAGCATACTCAAAATAATCTTTGCAATTATTATATATTTTTTTAGCTGTTCACTAAATTTGTTGAAGGGTGAAGTATTGAACTGCTTCCAGTGAAACTCTTCTTTGGGAAAACAACTACTGAAAATTGTTCCTGTACGACAGGCTTATTTTACTTTGAAGGCCAATTCCACACATTCCATATTCGACTTGCTGACGTTTTCAAAATACGTCCTAGAACCATGCGATTCTCACATTTTGAAACTTTCTGAAGCCTGACAAAACAGAATTCATTAATCACATTCAAAGTGATGTCAGCTCCAAAATTATAGAAACAGTGTATCCAAAGATCTCCAGGTCGACCGAAAATGGAGGCTACTAACATTGAGACACATGCTTACCTCACTGCTTTTACATTAGTTGGTGAAAATGGCAATTCGATGACTGTAAGTTTAGCTGATCTGGTATCGTTGCCACCTGGAGATTGGACAGTACAAGTGTAGTGACCCACGTCTGTAGCTCTGACAGCTTCGATTTCGAGAGTGCCATCTGACAGGATTCGGATACGTTGGGTGCCTCTGGGATTTATCATTCTGAAAAAAACGAAGAATATACATTTGAACTTTTTTATATCATAATAGGATAGAATAGACCCTTTTTATCTGTTTTCCATTGCATACAGTATTACATCACTCAATATGAACTTTTCTTCTTAAAATGAGCTAGGGAACCATATCCTATATTTTTAGCCATCAATTGAATTACACCCTGTATATCCTAAATCATTAGGAATCTATTAGTACCACAGTAAAAAAATACAACTCCTTAGAGTGGTATTATTAATGGTGATTGATGACTTCTTGATAGACTGAAATGAATTACCAAAAATATCAACTTGTGTTTTTTTGAATGATGACTAATGTAAAATAGTGCTTTGTGTCTAGTTACAAGTTCGAGGCATTCAGTGATACCATTCAACAATTTATATAAAAAGTACAAGTCTGTGTTGAACCTACGTTTTTCTAAAGTTTATAAACCTGTGCTATTTTGGATGATGTCATATTCATGATTCCAATTCATTCCCAATCTGAATGCATAATGTCTAAGAAATTTTCTCTGTATTCTTCCAATTGTCCCTATATTACCACTGTAGTGAAGACACCATATCACAAGAGCATATTTAGAGCCTGACCTAACAAGTGCACAGTATAATAGTTTTGAACTATCAAGTGACATATCCTTTGTGTTTCCCATAACAAATCCAATATTTCTATAGCCAACAGTAGCTAATTTTAGAATATGTTGCTCAAATGTCAATTGACAATCAATCAAAATGCCTAAGTCTTTGATTTCAACGACGAGGCAACAATAAAGATTCATCTTTCATTTTATAATTAAACATAATATATAATAATATTTTTGTTCCTAGAAACTGTGTGGATGAAATCTTTCTATGTAATTTCGGCACACCCTATGATATTATTATGTGATTCACATTTGGAAGCAAATTGCCTTCATAACTGTGCTTGCTAAATTATACTTTTGTGGATATTTCTAGGACAAACAGTTCATATAAACATAGGTCCGTAAATGCACAGTGTTCAAGATACAGGGTAGCATTTTTTTTTTGAAAAATCAGTTTTTTGTATGATTTCAGCTTAATTAGCCCCACACTATTGAAACTAACACTGCCAAATTTTAACAAGTTTGAGTGAAGAATTCTTATGATATATGTATGTATGTTTAGGCTGTGTTAATGGATCGAAATGCATTGATATACAGGATGTTCCATTCAAAAAAATAATATTTGATGAGATATTACAAGGATGCAACAGTCAGTTACCATAAAAAATACTAGTTTGCCAGTCAGATTATGTTTACACCTTCAATAATAACATCATTGTTATGATTTTTCTTCTTCTTGTACGATAGTAATATAAAAAATTTAAATGAAAGACTCACTGTTTGTCTAGATACCAGTCTAACTGATAGGGAACTGCTGGATCTGATGAGATTTTGCATTGTAAAGTTGCTGTTTGGCCCAAAAGCACTGTGGTGTTTACAGGTGGTTGGATGATCTGTGTTCGGACTAGAAACATTGAAATAGTGGATTAGTGATCTTCCTTATTGCCTTATTATACACTTTATATTTATGTAACACAGTTTTGAATAAATATTCCAGGGTGACGGATAAACTCATCATTTGCCATTATATTTTAAATAATTAAAGGGGTTAGGGTTACTGTTGCTTCAACGGGATTGAAGGAGGGGCATAAAATGCAACCCTTACATATGGACATCATAGCATAAAAAATAGTTTGTTATTCCTATGTAAGTGTATACTGTTAATGTATTATTGATCAGCAATATTCATATAAGCAGGCATTTCAAATATGGTAAAAAAAAAGTTATGTTAGTAAAAAAGCAAGCAATAAATATTCAATCTTGGAATTAACGTTTTTCAATGATACCTTGAATCTTTTCCAGTTCCTGTTTTGGAAAAAGCATTAACCAAGAGAACTACCATAAAATCATAAAATAAAGCAAAATAGAATACCATGGGGAAACTCGAAAAACTGAAATGGATAAACCAACGAAATGCTGATAGAAATTGTATGTAGAAAAAGTGTGAATAGTGAAAACATTTGGACACTAAACAATAAAGAAGCAGAATGGAAAACAGCTGTGCAAACAGCCTAACGTAAACACAAACATCTTTTTGAGGTTAACTTTTATGAATCTGTTCCTCTTCTTATTTTATTTACGAATGATTTAATTCTTCTTCTTCTTCCTCAAGATAGCCTCAATATGTAGATTATGAATGCTACCACTGAACTCTATCAAGGTATATAGCTTGTGGAGTATTTTTCCTTTTATCCCTTGCTTCAATGGAAGTTTGAAAACTTCTTTTCCATGCAAAATCAAATTTTTCCATGGCTATGACACAAAATTGCTTTTGTTCCACTGTGCTGGATAAATCAATGAAGTTCTTTTATGCTTTACAAGCATAATTACATCACCAATCGGATTTCTTGAATGCTGTGTCGTATCATCAATACAAACCGCTCGAAAGTCTTCAAGTTGTTTCGTCAGGTGGGGCGACTTGTTATTTTCTATCGCGAATATCATAATGACTTGATTTTGTTATTATTTCATAAAATCTCATCTCCCAAAGAATGTCAAATTTCAAACAATGACAGCTCTGTCTATTAGATGAGCATTACTTGAGGGAAAATCAGATACAAGCTGAAGAAATAAAAAAACTTCGTTGTTATAGCCGTAGAAAAAGTACAGTGTATAACTCGCACGTAATGCTAATTTCCCACTCGTATTATGCTGCAAACTTCATTCTAGTGGAAAATGACTTCCATTCCGTGGTCGTTAAATAAAAAATGACATTTGATGATGAAACAGCATACTCATGGTAATTGTCATATAATTTATATGGAAAAATATTTGATGTAGGATCCTGAATGGAGGTGAAGTCACAGTTCCCTCATTAGGGGTTACCTATAGTGGATGAGCTGTGGGCTGTGGTAAAGAATACAGCCTAGGTATGAAAGGGGAAAAGTTACCCCCTCTCCATGCATAAAGGAGTGGTACTGAAATAATGTTTCAGAAAAATTTTGTGTTGAATTTCAAGAGCAGGTACTTGACAAAAACAAAATATAATTACATTTGGAAAAAGTGTTTGAGGCACTTCTATCTCTACCTCGTCGCCTAATTTATATACAAATGTTGACAGGGTGAGTTTCTTTTCTCTGGATACCTGCTAGATCTGCTATTTCCTATATTCATCTTTATCGTTTTTTAATCTCTTGGAGCGCACGAAAGGAAATTCCTATAATTTTCGTGGAACATCATCCGAAGGATAAGAAGAAGAGGTAGGTGTTGAAATTTTTTTGAACTTTTGGAGGTTATATATGAGCTCTTGGGAATACTTCCATTGGCAAATTCCAAAGCTTCGCCGTTCCATAGACGAACAAGTTTTGGTGGAGTGTTGTTCTATAGGTCGCGTGCACGAAGACCGACCCTGGAGGCAAAATATTGAAACACAACCTCATTCTTCTGTGAATTATTGAAACAACCTCACTTTTTTATTTGTTTACAGAGGAATCAAAAGGTTGAAATAGTTTTTCACTTATGATCTAAGGTTTTTCACAATATTTTGGCATACGAATCGTGTTTCTTGCGTTATTCATCAATTCAAGCATGCCTTCGCACTGTGCTGTTGTACAATGCACAAAAAATGCAGCAAGACACTAGGGAATATGATTTTTCAGGTAAATAGTAATCTCACATAGTTATCATTATGAAATGTTGTCATTCCTTATTAAAATTCCTTCTGCCTTCTGCCACTTCTGCAATACAAGCTAATGCTGCTAATAGATTGAAAATGTCTACAACACACACGATCGTCAGCATGTCAGACCAGTCCTACCGATTGATTGCATTAATCCAATCTTCTTGCATTATTCTAGAAATTTCAGGTATATTTCTATTAGCTGATCCTATTGCAGAAGGAATTCCGATGAGAAATCAGAGAAATAACCAAATTTCAAAAATGAAAACTATGTGAGTGACTATAGTAGGTACTTACTTTTGAATCATAATGTACCATCCGGATTTCTTCATCTTCCGCTGCAGTTTTTGTGTATTTTGCAACAGCACAGTGTGATGGCATTAGCGAATCGATGAATAGCGGAAAAATACGATTCATATGCCAAAATAATTGTGGAAAACTATTTCGATCACTTGTAAACAAATATGTTTTGCCTCCAGGGTCGGTCATCTGACAGTTCTTGCACGCGACCTATAGGTCGCGTGCACGAAGACCGACCCTGGAGGCAAAATATTGTAACACAACCTCATTCTTCTGTGAATTATTGAAACACAACCTCACTTTTTTATTTGGTGACAGAGGAATCAAAAGGTTGAAATAGTTTTTCACAATATTTTGGCATACGAATCGTGTTTCTTGCGTTATTCATTAATTCAAGCATGCCTTCGCATTGTGCTATTGTACAATGCAAAAAAAATGCAGCAAGAGACTAAGGAAATATGATTTTTCAGGTAAATAGTAATCTCACATAGTTAGCATTATGAAATGTTGTCATTCCTTATTAAAATTCCTTCTGCCTTCGCAATAGCTTGTATTGCTGCTAATAGATTGAAAATTTCTACAACACACACGATCGTCAGCATGTCAGACCAGTCCTACCGATTGATTGCATGAATCCAATCTTCTTGCATTATTCTAGAAATTCCAGGTATATTTCTATTAGCTGATCCTATTGCAGGAGGAATTCCGATGAGAAATTAGAGAAATAACCAAATTTCAAAAATGAAAACTATGTGAGTGACTATAGTAGGTACTTACTTTTGAATCATAATGTACCATCCAGATTTCTTCATCTTCCGCTGCAGTTTTTGTGCATTTTACAACAGCACAATGTGATGGCATTAGCGAATTGATGAATAGCGAAAAAATACGATTCATATGCCAAAATAATTGTGGAAAACTATTTCGATCACTTGTAAACAAATATGTTTTGCCTCCAGGGTCGGTCATCTGACAGTTCTTGCACGCGACCTATATATTTCAAGGTTAACGACGAAAGGAAACTAGGCTTGTCGAGTTCGTTTGACTGGTATTGCTAGTAATGGAATGATAGCAGAGATTTCTGAGAAACATTTCCCGTGAAAGTATCTATAGACTTTCCTACGGTGTTCTAATGATGTCAAAGAGTTAGGCGAATGGCTTTTTCCTGGATAGAATCTAAGAGGATCAGCGTATGTTTGGGTGCTGAAGCCCATACATGAGAACAGTATTTTAAAACTGACCGTATCTGTGCTTTGTAGATCATGAGAAGCTTTTGAGGTGTAAAGTAGATTTTCGCACGGAACAAGAATCCGAGTTTTTATGAGGCAGCTTTTGCGATGGATCGAACATGATTTTCCCAAGAGAGAGTAAGTATATTGCTAATGGTTTTGGTGGGAATGGTGGTACCAGATATTGTTATATTATATCAGAAATACTGAGTTCCGCCTTTCTAGAAATAGTACAGGCTTGAGTTTTGGTGGCGTTGAAGTCAACTAGGTTGTTGGTTTCCCAGGCTGTATTTCCGCGAGATCTTCATCAACAACGTTGGCCTGCCTTCGACGTGAGCTCTCAGTTTCCTGGAAAGAAATGGGAAGAGAACGCAGTATGGAGAGTACTATCGTCTGCAAAGCTGTGGATAGGGCAAGTGGTTGCTCCCAACAGATCGTTGATATGAAGTAGGAACAATGTTGGTGCCAAAATTGATTATTGTGGAACGCCGGAATAGATGGTAATTATGGTATCAGACGATACTACGTCTACCACCACATGGAACGATCTGCTTGAAAGAAAACTGGATAAAAGACGGCATAGCTGAGGTGGTAAGCAGTATGATGGTAGTTTGTGGAGCAGTCCTTGGTGCTTAACACGGTCGAATGCCTTTCATATATCTAACGCCACAGCTAGAGATTCCCCATGTTTTTCTAATGAAGCTTGCCATATATGGGTGACGTAGGCAAGTACATCTCCAGTTGATCTTCGGTGGCGAAAGCCATATTGTCATCATTAATGATTCCTGAGCTTTCCAGATATTTGATGACTGAACACAGGGCAATTGGCCTATAGTTGTTGGGCAGGTTTTTGTTTTCTTATTTTGGGATTGGTTGGACTCTAGCTATTTTCCAGCAAGATGGAAAAATTTGATACTTACCCAATACTAGCAGATGTGCAGACCCGCGCACTTCTCCTGCTTCATTGGCTCTTATGCACGTATACTGTCCCGCGTCAGACTCTTTGACGGCTGCTATGAGGAGATCTCCACTTTCTAAGATCTGAACGCGACTCGAAGTCTCGACCTCTTGCTCTCCTAGAATAGTTATTATTAATAGATACCTATATATCCCAAACTGCCTGAGATAATTTTCTTTCATCCCTTGAGATTTCATAACTTAAACTGAGCCTGCTTCTAAATGAATAACAATTGTAGGTACATTTTCGGAAAATATTCGTTAATTTGTTGTCCTAAGTTGACTTAAAAATATTGTGCAGAACTTGCTTGATAGAGCCATCATGCAAAAAGTCCTCATCTTTATGTCATTTGTAACTTTACATGTGATTGTTATGTTACATAATATACAATGAGCTGTCTTATGAAAAACTACGCAATGAGCTGTAACTCCACTATTTCATATTAAGAATGAAAAAAAAAGAAATATCAAATAATTCTAAAAACCTCGAATCATCAATCGTGTTTTTTTCGGAAACTTTTATGCAAAATCTGACATTTTGAGTGGGACAAGAACGTGAAAACCGCAGCTTCAATAACAACCGAGAAACCTGGCAATCTCAATTAAAATAGTATAGATACACGGTATATACAGAAGATGCAATGAACATGTCACACATGGGCGGTGACATCACTTCGAGTCACTTATGCAATTAGTGGGTACGAGGCTATTGCATTTGATAATTAAATGTTTGGTTTACTTCGGTTCAAACCGGAAGTGACATAAAATGAATAGGTATATATTGTGAAAAATCCAGAAACTCTATTCTTTTTCGACCTCCTCGAATGATTCCATAGTTATAGCACTTCACGAATTCGTGCAATTTTGTATAATATTTCAATGAAACAAAAACCGAATTCGAGGCGTGAAACCTGTTGTCTTAGTCTTACCATTATGAACCCATGTTGTATTCGGAACCGGAGCACCAACTGCTCTACACGCTAATGTTGCATCTTTTCCATCTAGTACTGTTATGTTTGAAGGACCATATTCCATAACAGGTTGTGCAGCTAAAAGTTACATTGAGATGATAAGTTTTTAGTTCTCTGTTCTGATTAAAATGAAGTAATTCCATCATTCAAGTACCATGCACATTCAAATCCCATAAACAAATGTACAAACGGAGAAACCCGTAGATAGATAATTCATTAAATAGTGAGCTAAATAATAATCTGACAAAAAAGTATAAGTGACTACAAATACAAGACGGTGCAATCGGTAAAACAATAAAATATTAACAAAACACCAGCTTCAATGAAACCATATAAAACTCTCTACTTGTGCACACAAAGAAAAAGTGATAACATTCCATTATTATTCTATTGAAATCTTACAAGGCGCTAGGAAAACGAAATTCTTTTTTCCATGTCTTTCACTCGAACTTCTCAATCTCACCACTTTTGCTGCCAAACTCCGCACATTTCTGAATTCTGCATTGAATAAAAAAAAAAACAAATTTTATTTAGAGTAATAGTGTTCATCAGAGTGTTCGGTTTGGAAACTTTTACATAATGGCTGAAGGTTGAACTTAAATTGATAAGGACTTAAAATATGTCAATGTATAAATCGAAAATTAGAGTATCATTAGCTTTTTGCAAAAAAAAAAAGGAAATTTATCCTGACGCTGAAGTCACTACACTATGTATCACGCAACATGTATCAGGTAATGCCTAATGACAATGTAATGAGTAATTTTTTATCCACTAATATTAATAAATCCAGTAATCACAGTATTTGATGTGCTCAAAAAAACTAGTAATTTGATACTACTGTGATTTCATCTGAATTCGATCAGAGTTTACATAGTTTTGGTCTTGCCTACTGGGAAAACCAAATGTCTTCTACATGGAGATCTAGCAGAAATTAGAAAAAAACAATTATTCAGATATTACTTACTTTTTACTTTTAACCAAGTAGATAATGAACTTTCTCCTGCTTCATTCCTCGCAAAACATTGATACATTCCATTGTCACTTATCAGCAACTTCTTTATAACTAAAGAATTGTCCTCCTCTAACAAATACCTAAAATAAGAGAAAACAAAATCACCCAGTGATCTCGTGGTCGTCCGGTATCTACCATTTGAAATTATTCCCACTTTATTCCCACTCTGTTTCGCTTGTTCAAGCATTGTCGATCTAAATGAAAACCTAGTTGGCGACATCGTGCGAGGTGGATAACTACCTAACTATAGGTTGTCATCTAGAACGATAGCTCCCGCCTAATAAATACCTAACTAGGTTGTCATCTAGAATGACAATGGTTTAACACGAACATGACATGAAACTTAGGTTCAAATCTCTTGTCATAGTATCGAGAATTAGTCAAATAACTGATCAGGTTTTTACAATTTCAAGGATCTTTTCATTGCTATGACATCTGGAATGGAGTTTTAATAAAAAAATAGATATACAGAGGAAAATAGTATTTTTAATGCAAAATCATATAAAAGACTTTCGAGAAATGATTTTCACTAGAAATTCATCAGTACGATGATTTTCTTGTTTTCGTTTTTCCAAATTATCTCCCTAGGTTTTTTCGGGTAGATCTCACATGCTAATCAATTTTCGATAGAAATCGCAGCAAGACCTGTAAGTCTTTCGTGGCACATTATATGTATATTGCAGGTAAGTTTCAATGAAATTTAATTTGGAGAAACTCCTTCCTGCACTAACTACAGCATACAGACAATGGTAAAGTTAGTAGAATTCTTAGATCGAGCAACACATACCCAAGTTGGGAAACCCATTTCCAGACTATGCTGGTATAAAATTTAGTTCAGCAGTATTTGAGGGCTTATCTTATCATCCAGGTAACGACAAATGCCACAAGGCAAATTTTTTTTGAAATTCATGTCTGTTGTACTGAAATCTGAATATACAAGCACGTCATTTTTTTCATGTTCTTGTTCCCACGAAAAGGGAACCAAGGGAAATAAGGTAGGAATTGGTGTTCTTCTTAAATTTGTGGAGGTTATATGCCTCGGAGAACACCTCCCTTGTGTTCCAGAGCCTCGCTGTTCATTAGATGAACGAGTCTTTGGAAAGAGATGTTTTGCAGGTCTCCAAAGTGTACACGAAGAGGTGCGAAGCCTCAACTCGACGGGTTAATCTCGCGGGGACTGCCAAGGGAGGAACAATTGTTGATATTTCAGAAGAGCATAGACATGAAAATATCTATATAATAAAGCCAGATCGTCAACTTTTCTACGGTGCTCCAGAGAAGTGAGTGTTTGTGAGCGAGACATCACCCACGAAACGAATTGCCCTTTTTTGGACAGAATCCAACAGTTTCTGGGTATGTTTGAGAAAAGCTATCCTTGACAACATCAAGCTCTGTCCAAAAGAGGAAAGTGAAAATGAGTTTTTAAATTATTCAAGGAGTAATAAAGTTATGAGTTTCCACTTCATAAGTACTCAATCAAGCAGAAATTTATACGAAAAATAGTTCATGTACCGATTTTTGATGTCACATTAAATGTCGTGGAGATGACTTTGTGTATCATTCAGTATTTAAAAAATAGTTCGCCTATCTGGATGAGGCGGTCCTGTCTGTACCTACCCATCGTGAATACTCACCTCTTGTCACCGAGATCAATCTCCTCGGAATTCTTATACCACGTGATATTCGGCTTCGGTATGCCGAGCACGTCGCACGGCAGGCCGACGGAAGCCGAGTAGTCGCCGAGCGTCTCCGGCCTCGAATTCGTGATGAATCTCGGCCGCTCCAGCACCTCAACCTGCGCGACATAACAATAGATAGATACTACAGATTAACAAACCTTAGATACCGAGATAAATCATCAAAAACAATACACCAACAATCCTAAAAGCCAAACACGAATAGGTGGATGAAATCGCGAATGGTGGGGATAAGTCTGCGGAATAGGCGAGTGCACTATTTTTTTTTATTTCTCAACCCATAAGACTTTTGAGGGTTGCTTGTAAGGGGGCAACCAAAAGATGAGACGGAATTATTTACATTCGAATAGGATCAGACATTCCTAAATTTTGGTCCACTGTATGTTTCTAGTGTGGCCGACTAGATTGTGCGGTTGCCAGATATTCGTTTATGAAAGGAGATTCGTGGTAATCATCATCATACATACAATATCTACTAATATCTAGAACAATATATTCGGAAGAATACGGTGCTGATGATGTTTCGACTGTACAATATTTCATACAGTATAATACTGTGAATAACATGATCCAATTTTCGAATAAATTACCATTGAACTATTCCATTCCGTCAGATCACATAAACTCGGAGCTGAAAGCGCGACAACGCCGCGTACGGAATTCAGCAGCTCATAGCCAATCACAGCCATCTCGTAGCCTTTGTGTCGCGGTGTTGCATTGAGGTGGTTTTGGCGTATTTTTCGTGCTTTTTCATACTTTTTGTGAAAATGAGTGTGAATTGCTGAATAATATGAGCCATGTGTGCAAGAAACTGCACTATTCAAACACTGATGTGTCTTTTAATAAAAAAGTAAGATTACGCATTTTTTCACAACCAGTGGTATAGATATAAAGGTATTTTAAACGGCAATGGGTGTGGATAATATTATAGAGAATTATTTCAAGATTTTCGGTATTTTTTTTTACTGAAGAAGGTTTGTAATGTATTGTACGTACTTCTTGAAGATTGCAAAGCAATTCAGTGTATTTTTATATTATTTTAGGTTTCCATCTGAAAATGAAAGAAGAAAAGTGTATTTCCTTGGTTGGCAGGAAGATCGCCGCCCCACCAAATACCTTTTTGTATTTTCAAAACATTTCAATCCTTCTCGTATTTATATGTTCTCTCAACTTGTCATGATTGTGATTTATTCATAACATTATCAAATATAACTATATACCAATTTTTATTTTCCATTTTATATATGTTGGTTTCCATCTATGATTCTTCGTTACCATCTGAGGAATATTTCCAATGCCATCTCTTGTAGTATATCATACAGTAATCGATGTAAAAAGGAAATATGAAGAAAAAATCACAAATGTCAAATAACTTTCGCTGATTGACGTATTTCATGATACTATATTCTAGTATATTCACCTACTGCCTATCTTAACCAAATAAGAAAATTCAAATGAAAAAAAAGAGAGAAAAAAATTATTATCTGAAGAAAGAATAAATCTCAAAATCATCTCTCATGATGAGTTATTATAGGCCCGGAACATGTCCCCTTATGTAACATAACAATGTTCACCTATCAAATGTCATAGAGATGATTTTGAGATTTATTTTTTCCTCAAATACTACCACTCCACTTTGAGCACTATGAACTTCACACGTTTAAGCTATTGTCTGGTGAATTCAACAGAAAATGAATACTTTCAACCACGCCAAATATTGATGGAATTGCTGAAAAGATAATATGAAAATCGTCTTAAATTCAGAATATCATGCATTATCATTCATCATACCAATCGATATGTCGATTTTTGCTTGTCTCAAACTACGAAAATGTGCCACGAATAGTGACGGTTCAAGTCGATATATCATGAGTCACTATACTATGTATATAACTTTTATTGACAAGTAATATTCATATTTTGAACCTACAGTGTATCTTCTCTTGACAAGAAGATATTGACGTGAATCAAAGAACAGATGTATTGAGAAGGAATTACACCTCAATACTAAACATAATGAAACTGATTTTAATTGCTCACTTTCGCCACAGGGCGTTAAGAAGTTGAGGGTCAAAAAGTGACTTTTGTTTCCTGTATAATGATTAGGACAATAGATGTTTTTCGGAAAAAAATATCAGGCTGATTTTGCGAAACATAATTCTACGCTTTCGTCGAAATTTCATCGAAATCGGAAGAGGATTACGAAAGTTACAGGGCGAACAATTTTGCTAAAAATTTCACTGCCCGGAATTCATTGTCGGGGAGTGTATCCTACCTGGGCGTACGCCTTGGCGGTGGGGAAGCCGCCCGAACGCAGGTTAACGCGGCACTCGTACTGCCCGCTGTATGTGGTGTTGACCGACGCCAATATGAGGCTCCTGTTCCAGATGTCGTTGAAGGAGAACTGGATGCCCGTGCTGTCGATCGGTATGCCGTCCTTGTACCTATTAGGAGAATGCGGAAATTGGATGAATGGTATCAATTCTTCTGATTTTGATAGGTGAATTGACCACATTTTTAAGGGTTAGATATTTCGCATATGTTGAATCATCAATCATTGAAAATCACTGACATAACTACTATCTAGATACAGGGACCGTCCATATCATACCAATGATGAACATGCATTATCCACAAATAGTAGAACTAGAAAAGAAATATTTTTGTCACCCCATAATGATAATAATCATGCATTATCTGTTCCTATTTTAGTTTTTTTTCAATATTACGAATTTATTTATTTATTTAGAAAGCAAGGTTATCCGACAGAGGAACTATAAATAGTCCTTCCAATTACAGGATAACACAGTGATACAAAATTGTTATCTTTACATGGGTTGCACCTACTTACTATCTTTTAAAAACTAAGTACCTACCTATTCCATAACTTTCATTCAAAAAATAACAATTTGAAGAAATCAATAGTAACGTCGGTATATACAATATCAACATATATGAATACACACACACACTGGAAAAGTACAATTTCGATATGACTTAAGTATCATAAATGAATTATTGGAGAGCAACTTTAGGTCAACGACAAGCGAAAAGGTTCATCAACCATTCGCAGAACCGAGCCAAAGAGATACTCAGCCTCAGCAAACCAGAGCTAAAGCTTATCACAGGCTTTCTCACAGGACACGGCCCTCTGAGGTACCACCTCAAAAAGATGGGTCTGGCGGAGACTGACACTTGCCGCTTTTGTAAAAATGCGACCAAAACCGCGGAACACATACTTTGCTCATGTGAAGTATTAGTCCGCCAAAGGCTGAACCACCTAGAACAGGTCTATCTCACCCCTGCTGAAGTGGAAAAGTCAACCGTCAGGAAAATCGTAGGCTTCATCAGAAGTCTAGGGTTAGAGGACCAAAACTAGATAGAGGTAATCACAATAGATCTTCTAGGTCGCAGTGATCGAGAGGTCTCCCAGCCTATACGACCCATCTACAATCTACAATCATAAATGAATACCAGTACATTTCTATATTTTTATATTCAAGGAATACTTTAGAAATTCAACAAGAATTCTCTCAGTTATTTCTTGAATCTTTCGAGATCAAGGTGAAATATATCAATATTAGAGTGGCAAATTGTATTGTACGAGTTCATACATCTTATTAGAGGTGAATTACTATAATAATTAGTTGAGAAAGAAGGTGGGTAGAAAGTCTATTCCTAACCATTCTATGATTACAATTCAAGCTCAGGATGAAGATTTTGTAAATGAATAATATGTCAAAGATGTCTCTTCTAATGAAACGATTCTCTATTCTATAGAAACTCAAGTTGCTCTCATAGCTCATGTAGTGACGGAAGAGGAAGAATCTATAGTTCAAATTGTTGACCAATTTTTTTTAACATGTTCACTTTGATCCACATATTTGTCATACACGGGATTCCAAATGGTAGAGCAGTATTCAAGGATAGGACAGAATTATGGTGATAGTGATTTTGTTTTGTCACTGTTGTTTGGTATTCAACATGTCATTAGTTTGGTTGGTACTAAAAAGTATAGTCTTCTTCAAAAATTTCAACGACCAACTATGAGAGAATAAGGAGAACCTCCTCCTTATGACATCTATTCATCTTTTTTTTGTGTTCGGAAACATAAGTAAGAGCTACAGGTTCTAAAATTCGATCTCGTGAACGGCATAGCTTATTTCTTATGTCATTAGAAGTCAAGTTCGTAGAATATGTCAGTGTTGAAAATGAGAGGAAAATAAGTTTTTCTACAAACGCTTAACAAAGTAACCTTTGACGCTTCCAAATTCCAACGCAAAGTTGACGTTTTCCCAGAAATGTCATTCTTTGACATCATTTGCGTTCATGAGCGGAAATATTGAAAAAAGGCTCGCATATCGCTGTAACCTATACTTGAAGAATCTTTCACCTCCTGATATAGCAGAAAGTGCAAAAGTGCAAAAGAATCTGTTACTGAAGAAAGTAAGGAAGAAATATGAATTACAATATGATACATTCATAAATTGGTGCCACTCCAAGCTCCAAAAAGGTGAATAAGTATTCAGAAAACGTTTTACTGGCTTATTTTGGTGAAAAATCAAAGACAAAGACAAAGGTCTATATATTCGATGATAAGTACATGCTTGAATGTTAAAAATAATATCGAAATCAATAAGTATCCTAAACTCATCCCATTTCTCAAGAAACAATCTGTTGGATATAAAGCGGAAAAATCTAAAACATTCACCGCTGAAGATATCAACAAATCCCTACACAAGAAGCTCCCGATACTCTTATGTCGGAGCAATCTGCTGATGGCCCATCAGGTTCAGGGATGAATATTAGAGATTGCCATAATTGCACATTCAATTTCAATAAAGTGAATGATAAATTGAAATAATTATTTCCAAGAAAATTGTTCAATGTGTTGAGACTTGAAGTATTTTTATATTTAGTCATTAATTTCATTGGTCCATATATTAATATGAATATCGTATCTTCTGTTTTTTTTGAAGCTGCATTTGTAGAAAAAATTTGTGTGTATTTCGAGCACAAAGTGTCATTCCCGCTCTCCAAAGATTACCGCGCTCCGCTCCGCGTCGCGTGGTAACTTTCTTTGGCGAGCGGCAATCTATCACTTTGCACTCTAAATACACAAATAGCTATTCTTTTCTGTAGGTTGGTCGAGGAAGTAAAATGTTCACTTTTCTAAAGTTAGGATTCGATATGTTATCTCCTCGTGTCGGGAAATAAAAAAATTACCTATTCGACTTGATATGCGGTTGAATCAATTGAAAATTTCATGGAGTACATCTAACGAAATTAGTTAATTAATGTTTGATTTGAGAGATTCTATTTCGGGAACAGACCATTATTAGTTGTGCCGATCATAGTTCATTATTGATACATACCATAGTGTTTCTAGTTCGTAAAGCGGTCTGGCGTTGGCGATGCAATCCAAGGTGGTTTGCGGAGTACCCTTGACGACTCGGACATCCTCAGGGCCAATTATGATTTCGGGAGCGGTTTCTTTGTCATCGTCTGATTTTTCGATGGACAGTCTAATGTAGGCGCTGTTCTCTTCTTTGCCTTCTTGTGAGTTGATTGCTCGTGCTCTGAAAATGAAGATGAATCAGAACAAGTAGGGCGTGTTCATGAGATGAATTTGGCCAACTTCGAATGAGAAAAACCACTAAGTAGAATTAGCAAAACCAATTCGGCTCATTACTAAGTAGTTTTTTAGTTGTGAAGAGTCTGAGATTGAATAGTTAAAAAATCTGAGAACCATATCTCGAATATGCCTGTATATGACGATTCACTATTATTTTCCACTTCTCTGTCTCATTTTCTAGGAGAGCCATTGAAATCAGTTGAGACTACTCACACAGTACGTTCATTGAAGTTTTTTTTTTCAAATCAAAATCTGGAGAATGTGATATAAAAACAAAAACATGTGATAGCATATTGTAAAATTAAATAAATAATTTTGTGCCTTCTTATGAATACCTTCAGATCAAACGGCCAATTAGTAGGTTCTTAATATAAAAAACCATCTGCAGCGAATTTTTAGTTTGTAGATAGACTACTCATAGCCCCCCTGGAATAACATATACACTGTATGTTCATGAAGTAATCCCCCTAGTCAACTTTTGAACGACTGGATATTTTTATTCCTTTTGTTTTAATGGTAGTTGAAGTGCTACATTTTCATTCGAACAGAAAATATTTATCTTTCGTCAGAACACCATTTTGGACTTTTATAAAATGGAATGGGGGGGTCGGTTAATACCTCATTTGAAACGACTTTCAATTCTCTATACGACCATTTGAGACAAAAAATCTCTTCCAAAACAAAACTGCGAATGATAATGTTTGAAATGTCTCACTAGGATCTACTCTACTAGACTCGTGTAATCTTCAACTCTCTATCGGCTTCTAGAGAAGTTTTCTATCCAGGAAAATGTTAAAAGGGAGCAATCTTGAAGAAAATTGACCGGAAGTACATCCAATTCATTTATTTAAAATACAATGAATAATTTTTTGCTGGAAATTATGATTCAGTACATAATTACATTTCCAACGATATATCACAATAATAATAATAATAATAATGATAATAAAAAAATTTCTGTTGTCCTATTTAGTTTTAATGAAGATAATCTTCATGCTATAACTACTTTACATTGCATTGAATTCTTCAACTTCATCTTTATTTAGAATTGTTATTGATACTGCAAAATCTGATGCATCAAATTTTGATAATTTGATAAATTTACTACAAGTTACGAGGGAAATACAAAAAGGAATTTTTTTTAAAATCTCAATTATATGAGTAGATTGAAGTATGATTGTGATATATATCATTGGAAAAGTAATTTTAATGAATCGTAATAAAAAATATATATATACTTTGTATTCGAATTGAAAAAAATTGTGTACATCGATGTACCAAATTTGAAACATCCTTACAAAATAGCAACGAAAATACAGGGGGGTAAATTGGTTCTGGGCCACTCGCGGTATATTCATAATCAACAACAAATTAAACAAATATTCTCAGCCGTTCAAAAGTTAACAGGGGGGGGGGAGGAATGTAATGGACAAACTGTATATTCATCGCTGTTGTGGTAGTACAGGGTATCCCACATAACAGAGACAACCCCCTCATCTGGTAAATTCGAATAGATACAAAAACAATTAAGAATGGAAGTTGTTTATAGTCATATGAACTTTCTTCTACAGATAATGTCAACTATACAGGATGATCCATATGCATGTGACATACCAAACATAAGATTTTTCAAATGGAATACCCTAAATTCCATTTCGTCCTTGAATATAGGTCAGAAAGGCGAGTTCACCCATTTCGGACTTATCCATGATCATCCTCAATAAATAGCCAAATTTCAAAGCCCTATAAAAACCTTGAGAATCAAGATATTGATGCGCAGTTTTCGTCATGAATTACCACATTCTATATGTTATCTTGATATTTCATCAATATTTATAAATTTTGAACTTGCCAAAAGTTATGACGTATTTTGCAAAGCCACCATATTTTCTTAAAGTTTCCGGAGACTGACGCTGTAACAATGCGACCGAAACCGCGGAACACATACTTTGCTCATGTGAAGTATTAGTCCGCCAAAGGCTGAACCACCTAGAACAGGTCTATCTCACCCCTGCTGAGGTGGAAAATTCAACCGTCAGGAAAATTGTAGGCTCCATCAGAAGTCTAGGGTTAGAGGACCAAAACTAGATAAGGGTAATCACAATAGATCTTTTATGGTCGCAGTGATCGAGAGGTCTCCCAGCCTATACGACCCATCTACAATCTAAAACCATCTCTAAAGTTTCCAAATAGAACACCCTGTATGTCATTTCATCCTTTGATAGAGCTCAGGAAGATGAGTTCAATGACATATAATAAGTACCATGGGTCTGGGAGCACCCGCTTCGGACTTATCCATGATCTTCTTCAATTAGTAATATAATTTCAAAGTCATCTAAGAACATTGTGGATTGAGTTCTCCATACGCGTTTCCTTGATAATTTGAGGATAGTTTTGAGAATAGACTACTTATTGAAGATGATCATGGATAAGTCCGAAACGGGTGATCTCAGACCCATGTTATCATATATCATTGAACTCGTCTTTCTGAGCTCTATCCAAGGACGAAATGAAATTGAGGGTATTCCATTTGAAGAATGAACAATCGTATGTTTTTTGGGTATGTCACAGGCATAGGGATCATCCTGTATAAATTACATTATCTTGAAACAAGAGTTCACATGACTATGAACAACTTCGATCCTCAATTGTTTTTGTATCTATTCTAGTTTACCAGATAAAGGGGTGGACCATGCTATGTGGGATACCCTGTACATATTCTACCAAGAAAGAGCATACCTGTATGCTTTCTCATCCGACGGTTCCGTTGACAAAATGATCAGCTGATTGTGTTTCGAATACGCGTATTTCGGACCATACGGGGTGATGCTCTCGTCGGTCTGCCACGTGACGTCCGGAGAGGGGATGGACTCGATCTCCGGCAGATCCAATATGGCGGCGCTTCCTTCCTTCACCGACATCGATCTCTCGCTTTGATCTTCGAAAACACCCATATCTGAAAAAATAATCATAATAATAATAATTGTCAGAATAATCTAGATTTTTCAGTCGTGATGGAATACCAGAAATACTTCAAAATTCAGGCTACAATCAAAATAATTATACCAAGGTCGATAATTTTTGAAAACGAAAAAAAAAATTATAGTAGAATGAAACCCATTGGAAAGGGAGGAGAATATAACATAGATAAAAGAACATGGTACATTACATAACTAGTGTAACACATGGTGGAAATATAATACTATACACTGTGTCCAAAATAAGAATGTCTATCATGGGGGTCTCGGAAACCATAAGAGATACGAAGATGGTTAAATCAGAGAAAAGTTGCTCGTTTTCGAGCATAACATCATGATGTTTGAAAATTTTCAAAATGCCGAGTATTTCCGGAGATATGGCTGAAAAACCGAAATATGCCGATTTTGTTTTCATTTTTTTCTGACGTTATTTAAAGATTGCTAGGAAAACAAAAGACACTTTCTCATTGCCACTTTTTGAGCTCTACAAAATAGCGTTGAGAGATTTTCCGTACAACGTTTCGTTTCGGAGAAACCATCATCAACTTTATTTTTTTATATGGCCCGTAAAAAAAGTATACCCTGTATAAAATAGCATATTTTTTTACGAATACAACGATGTATGACACATAATAATTCTGCAATATTTTGATCAGAAAAACAGAAAAAAATAGTTATTTCGAACGTTTTGGTGTAGTAGGCGGTGAAATGACGGCGCTGAGTGTGGTGTAGTATGCTATTATTACTCGTGTTTCAAAATATTGTATTGAAATCACATTATTGTGGATTTAAAAACTTCATTTGAATACGTAGGTAGGTCACGTCATATGTTAATTAATTAAACAAATTAGTTAAGAACTACTCACTAGAAATCCAAAAAAAACGGAGATAAAACCTTCTAACTGACGAATTAAAAACACTTCTCAACTCATCAGGTTAAAAAATACGGCGGTAAACATAATTTTTGCAATACCCCTAGAGAAAAAAATCGAGCGGAGTGATGTCCGGCGAACGAGGAGGCCCAGAAACTGTTGAATGTGTACCTATCCATTTTCCCAGGAATCTGTTCGATAGAAACTTCTCTAGCAAGAACAAAGTTCAAAAACACTTTGTGTCAATAATATGTCGAATAAAGTGTTTTGACATTTTCTCAGCGCCGTCATTTCACCGCCTACTACACCAAAACGTTCGAAATAATGATAAAAACCATTTTTTCCTGATTCAAATATTGCAGAATCATTATGTGTCATACATCGTTGTATTCGTAATAAAATATGCTATTTGATACAGGGTATACTTTTTTTACGGGCCATATAAAAAAATAAAGTTGATGATGGTTTCTCCGAAACGAAACGTTGTACGGAAAATCTCTCAACGCTATTTTGTAGAGCTCAAAAAGTGGCAATGAGAAAGTGTCTTTTGTTTTCCTAGCAATCTTTAAATAACGTCAGAAAAAAATGAAAACAAAATCGGCATATTTCGGTTTTTCAGCCATATCTCCGGAAATACTCGGCATTTTGAAAATTTTCAAACATCATGATGTTATGCTCGAAAACGAGCAACTTTTCTCTAATTTAACCATCTTCGTATCTCTTATGGTTTCCGAGATCCCCATGATAGACATCCTTATCTTGGACACAGTGTATATAGTATAATGTCGCAATAAGATAAAATATGAAATTAACATTTTGTAAGATCTCTTTTAACGCCCATGAATGTGACGTGACAGCAATGTCATGTCAGGGACGCCAATACACGAAATCAAAGTCACTAGATTATTAAAAGAGAAAAGAGCTATGATCTGTCCGTACCCTGTTAGATGACAAATACGTCAGTTTGCATCAAGGGACCCTAGTCCAGACTACTCATAAAATAATTGCATAGAATACAATAATTCGAACTTATCGAAGGTTATACATCTCAAACTTCCTGCACAGTAATCACAAATCGTGTCAGTTTAACAGAATATTTCAACTGTTAAACTGACACTCTTTGTAATATTAATTATGCAACGAGTTATCGATGTATAACCCGAATATTTTACAGTTCATGATTTATGCCTATTGAGTTACTTCAAGAGTACGATAAAAGTATACAATAACAGTTATTGAACTTCGCAATGCTGATATGGTTATTGAAGTACTCAATGACGCATTGAAATCTACCAAGTTATTGAATCCCCATTCTAGAATTATTGTTGCCAAGTCCATATATTTATGTTATCAACAATTATCCCTCGTTCGTTTCTGATTTGCCTGGCTGGTATTGAAGCCCTGGAAGAGAAGGCGGTATGGAGGGTACTTATCTTGTCTGTACTATGCAGTTCATATTTCGTGTCATTATTGCATATTGTCATTTGTCAATTGTTTTCACGTTGCTCAAAGCTCAATATTATGATTATTCAGAGTCATATAAGAGTTCGGACACAGAAATGTCAACTGTTGGTGTTTTTGAATTTTTAGATTTATTAAATTAAACACCTTGCATTGTGTGAGCACCACCATAGTCGTCCCGCGCTTTTTCATTCAAAATTCTCTGAATTTGACAATACATTTCATGAACATCAGAATTAAAATATAATTTCATAAACTATTGAGCAGAAAGCATAAATGAAAATGTCCTGCTGTGTAATTAATTGTGAGAATTCGGAAAAGAATGAATTTCATTTATTTAATTTTCCAGAGGAAATATCAACCATTCTCATATGGAAGGAATTGCTCTAGTTGATGGGCCAGACTAGGCCCGGGAAAAAAATATAGGTATATTTATATCGAATAACAATATATAATTTCAAAAATATCGATATATCTTTAAGTAGGTATATCGATAACTATCCAAATATCGATAACTACCGATAACTATCGATAACTACCGATAACTGCCGATTCATCGATAAATCGAACTATCAAAATATTGGCATATTGATAACCATCGATATATCGATATATAAGGTTAATAAAGTTATCGATATATTTATAACTATCAATTTTTTTTCAACAAATCGGTAAAATTAAACTCGTTTTATTTGTGTGACTCTTAGACGCTTCCGTGATATCCAGACGGAAGTTATAATGCCGTACATCAACACAATTTCGTGAACAATAAAACGACAGAACTATCTCGAATATTCAGAACATCGTGATAAATCGATATGTTCGATCAATATATCGAGATATTTATCGATATATCGATACTTATATATATCGATATATCGATACTAATCGATATATCGATATTTATCAATATATCGATATTTATCGATATATTGAACTCATCGATATGTTTTGACTTATCGATAAACGATATCTGAAATCCAATATCGCCCAGCTGTAGGCCAGACTGAAAGTACTTACATGCTACAACGATTTTGATTTCTTCGCTTAAAATCGATCCGATTTTGTTCGCTGCTATACATCGATAACTTCCGCCATCTTCCAGTTTTGCCGAGAAAATTTTGTAAAAGGGATCCGTTGATAGTTCCGTTATATATTCTTTGTCTTTCAGCCATCTGAATTGCGGTGAAGGGTTTCCTGTAACAAAAAAAAAATAGGTAGTTAGCATTTCAGATACTCACAGTTACTCATTTTATTTCTTTAAATATAATACATGAGACCTATTATACCTATTTGATATACAGGAAGGTCCAAGAATATCTCCCAATATTTCTGGGACTGATAGTACACCAAGAACGAAGCTATACTATTGTCTATATCCACAAAACTATTGAGAGATATCCCCTTTCAAGAAAAGGATGATAAATATCAGATGATTTACAAAGTGTGATAAGTCATAATACATTTATTGATTGATGAAACTAATAATTCAAAGCCTTATTCTTTATATGTGAAAGGGCTAAGTGATATGTTTATTGCACAATGAATAATGCACGACTGATGCACGATTAATTGCACTTTGATTTGTAAACATAGATGAATCATTCAAAACAGTTCTATAATCATGTGCACATGATTTTCTAATGAGAAGTTTTAGAATTGTTATAAAATGCAATAATGCAAACAACTATACCGTAAAAATACTCCTCAAGTTGAAAAGAGGGTTCGACTGGAGCACTGATATTTTTCATTCCCCTTCAAAGGGGCATGTCTCCCTCACATTAATAATTTTCTGAAATGAGTTTAAAGAAAATATCGAATTCGTTTTTAGATGTACTTAAGCGGGAGACAATTCTGGACCACCGTGTACATTATGTTCCACAAGAGTTAGGAATATCTCAAATATTCAATAAAGTACCAAACCAATGTGATTGTTGAACAAAATAAACAGTAAAGCAAAACTCTCATGATATTACGAATTATTTGTTTTTAAGAATTGTATACAAGGTGCCCGATTTTCGAACCTCACCATGGGGATCTCAGTTATTATAAGAGATACGAGGTCGGTTAACAGGTTGAGTGCCACCATGTATCGAAAAATATCGGTTCCAGAGGCCGATACATCATTTTTGCCTAAAACATCAGATACTAACATACGCTAACATACCTACTGTTGATATTCACTTTTATTTTTGATGTGCCGGAATTTTTGGGAGGTAGAAAATGGCGCTTAATTTTTGGAGACCACATTGGTCTCACACGGCCCCTCATTCGACCATTTTGTTCGAGGGCTGTGCGAGACCAACGTGTCAATACGCTATGCGCATGTCTGCATGTTGAGAATTGTAGCGGGGGATCGGCAGACCGGTTCAACTTGTCTCGTGATGCTGCAAGAGTCACATCATGTCCTCGTACGAGAAAGAACAAAAGCAATTGACGAAGTTATGTCAGGAGGTGTTGTCCGATGAAGACGAAAACTGAAGCAATCAAGATGAAGAATCACTGTTTGGAAACGTGTATCTTTCTGATGAATGTCAATGTGAGTCATCAGTAGATTCTTCGTCATCGTTGAAGAATGCATCTTCCAAACAACCGAGAAAAAGTCCCAAAATCAAAAATAGAGTCGGTGCTAGAAAAACTCAAACATTCAGAAATGATATACCGTTTACTAGTGCAGTTCCTAACAGTTGGTATATCGTTCAATGAATGATATTTATTTCATTCTTAGAATATTCTGAATGATGTTGTTACATGTTCATGATGTATAAATGAAAAAAATAATCCTAACATTTCCTAGCCACGTACTACCAATTTGGTCTCTCATATCCACAGGCCAAAATATGTCTCTGGACCACCAGGCCGAGCTGTTTCGAACGCCATTTAGTTCACAATGTTGCGAGAGACCGCTTTGGAGATATGCAGCCAAATCAGTTGTGGATATATGCGAGACCATATTGGTCTCACGCGGTCAAAAAGTCAGAAGTATGTGCGAGACCATGTTGGTCTCTCATGGCACTCAACTTGTTAAATTAGGGCAAAGTAGCGAATTTTCATGCTGAATATTTATCTGCAAGAAAATTTGATGTGTCATTTTTAGTCTTTGAATTATTGGAATTTTTTCAAACGGAAACCAAGACCTTTCTGACTAGAACATTCTCAAGGCACTTTTTTACAAGGAATCTGAATCTGTCATTGTATATATTTCCCATGACGTTGAGACGTTCTCGATGCCAAAGTTACAACATACGACTTTGTGTTTTGTTACGGGTGCCCTATTGGATTTTTGCATTTTATAAAAGTCTTTTGTTTTTCTAATCACAATGATGTATCACACGAAATGATTGAATTTTTCCAGTTGATCTGAATTGGGAAAAAACGATTTTTGCGAAGAGTTTGGTTTAACATGCTGAATTTCGACAGTTTATTTGAATTTGGATCTAGAACGTTCACATTTTCGTCAAGCTCATCTACTCAAAAACTATATATGGTTTTGAATGAGGAACGACGTAATGAGCTAGACGTTTATTCTTCGCAGAACAAAACAAAATGAAGTTATAAAAGATGCTTGAATACTCGACCTTCCTCTTCTAAACACAATTATACGCGTTTCCTCAGATTCTAAATTGCTCCCGTCTTCCTATTTTAGTCCTGAAAGTGGTGATTATGTTCCTTCTCAGCTCATCAATATGGATCGGTACAGTTTTGATAATCAAATCTTCCATAGTTCCCAATAGAAAATGATCCAGCAGAGAAAGATCAGGTGACCGCGCTGGCCAAACTTGTCAGGGAACATATCTGACAGACACTCGGCAACCCTTCTTGCGTTATGTGGATAAGCTTAAGCATTCAACAGTTTTGTTCTCACATTCAATTAAACTGTCAAAATTCAGTTTGTTAAACAAAACTGTTGGCGTTCCTTCCAAAGCACTCGTAAAAATAGTTTTTTTCCCAATTTTGATCAACTGGATAGATTCGATCTTATCGTGGGATACATCATTGCAGTAAAAAAAAGACTTTTCGAAAATGCACACATCCAATATGGCGCCCATTGGAAAAAACAAAATAGTGTGTTTCAACTTTGGCATCAAGAACGTCATGGAAAATACAATATAATATTCATATTCCTTGTAAAAAAGTGCCATGAGAATGTCTTAGTCAGAAATGTCTAGGTCTTATGGTTTTTGCTTGAACAAATAAAAAAGCATGAAAATGCGCAACTTTGCCCTAATTTAAGTCATGGAAACCATCCATTCTCAAAGTGGCCCAGTATTTTTCAAAGGGAGAAAAACAATAACTCAAAGTCGGTCGACCACAAAATTTAATAAAAGGAGTGACTATAGTTTCGGCTCAACGGCCATCTTCAGACACAATGTAAAAAAGTACCTAGAAAATTATAAGTTGTTAAATCTAGACAATATGGTGGCTGCGAAAGAACATACCTTATGGAGAAAAGTATACTAATTAAAAACTAACTAGTAGGTCAGCATCGAATCATCCGTCCAAATTGGAACTAGTAAAATTTAAAACGGCTGAAAAGCCAAAAGAACCTTACGATGAGTAAGTTCAACATTAGAAAATTCAAAAAATTTTGATTAATTTTTTCACTTTCCTTTAATTCTATTACTCATCTGTATTTTTAATGTTAAGTTATTTTATTATTATGCGAAACAAGTGCTCTTACACTTATCGCCTTGTGATATTTATACCCGCTACTTTTTAGGTTAAGTTATTTAATTATCAAGCGAAACAAGTGTTTTACACTTATCGCATTGTGATATTTATTCTCTTTAATGTACTTTGATCCTTATATATTTGTATACTATACTTTCCTCAATAAATATCTTATTTATTAATTAATCAACTCAACGGAGCTTCATCAGCGGTTAGGCCATCAACAGGAAAGACAACGCCGTAGGTGAAATGGAAGTGATGATTTGACATTGACATCACAAAATGACAATTTCAAAGTCAGCGTAAAACATTTTGAATGACAGTCAAACATATGAAAGATGAGTTTCAAATTCAAAAATTGACATTATTGACGCTAAAAAGTTATACAATTCAATAAAACTATGTAAACAAAAACAATAATTGATGATAGAGATGTACGCGAAAAGGGTCAAGAAGAGCAAACAAAATTCAAGAAAGAAGAATAAATGATTATGATAAAGAAAGAGAAGCAGAAGAACCAACATTCTGTCAAGATAAAGGATACAGGACAGGCTCTAGCGCAGGGAAACCAATGTGTGATTATTATGAAAATTGTAATGTGCGGAAAATATGATTACGGTCAAAGTTGGTCTGATCATTTAAACAAATACTCTGAGGATTATTGATGCATTTTTGAATTTCTAAAATCTCAAGAAGGTTAAGCCGTGGACCTTTGTTGCAAACATGTATAATATCCATATTAGAATTAACATTAAAACTATGGTTTGAATCAATGATATGGTTGGCAAAAGAAGATGTGGTATTGTGATTTTCTGAGTTCAGAAATTTGTGGATAAGTCTATTGTGTTCAGAGGCCCGAATCTCAAAACTCCTACCTGTCTGACCAATGTAGGATGCATTACAATCATTGCAATTGAGTCTGTAAACACCAGATTTCTTTACAAGCGGAATTTTATCTTTGGAGTTAAATAATAAATGTTTCAAATTAGAAGAAGTTTTGTAAGAAATAGAAATGTTAAGAGATTTGAACATTTTTGCTAGTTGAATGGAATAATGGCCAAAATAGTGTAATGATTTATATAAGGGAGGGTCAGCGACTTGACTGGATGTGACATTAAATGTTAATCTATGTTTAGTGTAAAATTTGAAATATAACTTCATGATCAAATCAAGTGGGAAATGGTTATTCAAGGCAATCTGTTTGATAATATTGATCTCTTTATCAAAGGCTGTTTGCTGCCCTAATTTAACCAACCTCGTATCTCTTATAGTAACTGAGATCTCTATGGTGGAGCTCGAAAAACGGGCACCCTGTATAGTGAATACAGAAAGAATCCATTGATGAGAAGTTACAAGGCGAAATTTAAATTTGGTGTGAACATTGTGCGAAATCGTTTCATTCCCCTCATTTCCATTTCTTTATCTCCGGCCCATGATGAGAATAACACTCATATTCTTCGGAAACGTGCTCCTGTTGCTCAGTTCTCTTGCAACCTATATTTTGAATTCCAATCTTCCAATTTCCAG